GTAGCAAACTATGGATTGCAGTGTACACTTAACGACAGCTGCAAAAAAAGGTCATAACATTCGGTTGGTCATGGGTGACCCAATTTATGACAATCACGAGTTAGGACTGTGATGTGCAGGTGGGTAATTCAAGGACTACCTGCATATATTTGGGGATAACTGATAGAGGGAGGGAAGGACCAGGTGGGGAGAGTTTTGGCTTCTTAAGTTCCAGGTTTACAGACATTTGCCACTCTTTCTGGATACATTCCTACCCCCCCCCCCCACTTTATTAAAGGAATAGATATCATTAACTTAAACTCACTTCTAAGTAATTATACACATAAGTGCCATGTTATATAAACATAAACTATTTTATTTATATTCATAACTAAAATAAGAAAACATGTTTTAGAAATAATTCAATTATGTAATATCTGACATATATTACAGCAGAGGCATAACAATAAGATACTTCAATATTGTTAACACCATCAGTAGCTTTAAGCAAGACAACTGCTAGCCTTTTTTCATCGTAATTACAAGTACAGGCACTGCTAAATTCTACCCCAATTTTTGCTGACTGCAAAAGGATCTGTAATTGAAAAGATCACTAATAATGCGATGTTTCAGTACCAAGCCTACAGGGGATTGCATATAAAAACAATTGCCTCATTCAATAATGCTTTAAGTTTTCCAACTGAGCTTCAACTAAAAGAAGATCTGTGCTGTGTTATTACCTTGAACAGAAACTTTTAATCATGAATTCTACCAGTTTAATACTGCAAATCAGATTTCAAGGATTCAATTTTAAAAGTCACCCCTCACAGATGACTGAGAGCTTGTGGAACAGCTTTCTTTGTTTTTGTCAACTGAACAGATGAAACAATTTTTTCAGTTCTCTAACTCATACGCATTTAAAATCAATAAAAACTAATTCTCCCTGGTTTCTGAAATTCCTGGAAGCACAATAACAGAAGGATACACACATTTATGCTAGTACTAGAACCATCAACTGCTTGGCAAAAAGCACATCGAGTTAAACAATTATGAGGGTTAATGTTACCCATCAGCTAAGGAATTTGAAATGTCTGTATCACCAGAAGAGTCATTCTATCTTCTCAAGTTAAAGTGTGGTAAACCTTATTAGATTCTTTTTTTAAAAAATTCCTATTTATTGAAAAGAACAGACTTTGGAAGAGTATGGGCATTTCACTATTACATCCATAAATGAAAATACCAGGCATTTGTTTAAACTGGTTCCCCCAAAATAACACAAGAGTACACAAGTGTCTTTTCATCCTTATGCAGCATTTTGAACATCAAATTTATCAGACCTGCATCATGAAAAATAACATCTAAATGAAACTATAGTTTCCAGTGTAAGGGAGATCTGCTCGACTGCTAGCCTGCACAAGGGTTCGTCGTCTTCTATCATGTTTCCACTTTTCCATCTCTTCCTTTTTATGCCTGGCTGCTGCCTGCTTCTTTGCTTTCGTGTCCTTTGTTTTTAGGTATTGAACAGACACTTTTGTTTTAATGCTGGCTTTACGTTGTCTCACTGCCAGAAAGAACAGATAGACAATTAGCATTTTTCAAAGCAGATTATAATAGTTATTTAATTATATTTCTATGCACATATGCACGGAATTAGAAAAACTTACTCAGTGCACAACTAAGAAAAAATAAATCCTGCCTTCCTGTCATCCCACTGTAGATTATACAGCTGAGTTATAAACTCATCCAAGTTTCAATAACCTCAATTTATGATAAGCAATCAAAGCGCCTCCTGGTGGTCACTATAACAGACACAGGCTGTCATTTTATTATGAGCGGATTTGATCTCACAACAGTGGAAGACAGGTTGATATACTTGTCCAATTCTAGCTGGTGAATTAATCTTCAGCTGTCTCTTTACCGTGCCCATCTGTCTTCAACAGCATTTCTTTCCATATTATACTCACCACCCTCCACCAACCCCATTCAACCTTCTCTTACCCAAGCATACATACATATATATACGTTGCATTTATACCTAATTGTGTCCTGTAAATTTAAGCTCACCCCTTAATCATAAACACCTCCTCTCTGAGAAGTCCACAAAGAAAAAGATAAGTGGAAAACAAAAAGTTATCAAAAATATTTCAAAATCCGGTCCAGTAGGACAGCCCTCAATACAAAACAAGCCTTTTCATAGTTGCTGTTTTATTGGAGAACAGTAAGGCTAGGGAAGAAAAGGTAGGAAAGAAACACAATGCAAAAAAAAAAAAAAAAGGCACACTGCAGATAATGTGTGCAAGCAGAGCAGTCAGCACGACACACTGACAAAAGTTAACTTCTTTCTTTTATGACTGCTGCTAAAACTCGTATCATGGGCAGGATAATGAATCTGAACAGCTGGCTAGTTTTGGAATATACAAGCTAAATCTTCACCATCCCTTTGATACAATCTACCACTTAGCAGACTTTACTCCATCTATAAATACTTAGGTTCATAATTTTCATGTCATCTTACAACATACACTATGAAGCATTCGTAAACATTTCAATTTGGAATATGGAATATCAAAATCTGACATAGCTTTGAAACCAACAGTAATAAGAAGCAGTGTTAGAGTACTAGTGCAAACATCCTATGTATTCACAGTTTAAATGCAAAGTTTATAAAGGGATCAAAGAAGGGATGGGATCTTTCCAGAAATAATATACTAGGATTTCATATTATTCCAATTAGAGACAAAAGTGAAGGGGTATCTTAGGTAAAAGTTGTAGATGCACAGGGAGCTTTTGAATTAAAAATACATATACAGGAAATGGAAGATGGGTATAATCATTATGGAGAAAATAGAAAATATCTGTAAAAATAAAAGCTACATCTGAGTTTCAAAGGAGCCAACAGATGTCATCTCTGATCTTCGAGAAACCAAGAACATAATATAGGACCAGAGAAGGACAAATGCTCTTATCTTCAAAAAGAGAGTAAGAGATAGATAATTACTGATCAGTCAGCAAAACTTGGAACTGTTGATTAAGCAGTTGGTGAATATTTTAAAAGAATACATTGGCTAGGATAAGGTATCACAGGTTTATTAAAAATAAATCACCACAAACCTACCTGACATTTACTTTTTCTAATAAAGGGAAAAGTTTAATTGACCACAGGATAGTGGTCAGTTAAATTACAGAATAGTGAACATTGATTTCAAATATTTGATGAAGTCTCTAATGAAGACCATGGCAGTATGGAGATGCTTGAACTATACCCCGCCCCCAAGTATGTATGATTCTGTGTCAGAACTAGAAGTTTGGGTGTAACACTACTGGACCTTTCCAGCTCTAGGCCTTTTCTTGCTCAACATGTAGTACAGTAATTTTAGCTGACTTGGATAAGTGATCATGTTGTATGATTATCAAATTTGCAGATGACACAGGTGGAGGAGAAGGAATTATAAACTCCTTAAAAGACAGCATCAAGATCAAGATTCAGGAAGGTCTTGACAAGTTGAACCTATAGTCCTGAATCTGGCTGAGAAAAATCCAAGCCTTTTGTATATGATGGAGACTACAATCCTGAGCAGCCGTATATGCAAAAATAATTAGGGTGTCTTGGTGAATCATATGGCAAATATGAACTAAAATGGTGATGCAGCTACAAAAAACCAAATGCTAGATCTCATTAACAGAAATATGACAAGAAAATACTTGTTCCTGTCTATTCATGCATTTATCGTATTATAGCTAGAAACTGTATCCAACAAAGTATTTTAGGAAGGGCAATAATAAACTGGATACTGTGCAGAAAAATCACATGCTTGATATGATAATATATTCTGGAAGAAAAAGTTTATGAAGCACCGGGTAAGTTTTGTTTAGAGAAAAAATAAATGCAGGAAGATGTGATAGCTATCCTTAGGTTATCTAAATGTCTCTGAAAGCCTGGCTTTTTTCCTAGGCCTTGATTTGGTCTTGATGGCAAGTCTTTTCTTATAGGATTGTATATGCTAATCCAGGGGTGAAATGCTCCTGGTTCGGACTGGCTCGGGCGAGTAGGTAGCGATGGCGGCGGGCAGTTCGGAGAACCGGTAGCAAAAATCCCTGCCCCCACCCCCCCATACTGAGCCACGCGATCATCAGAGCCTTTTTTTTCTTTTAAATGGCTCTGACAATCCAAGCTCTGAAGATCCCAGCTGAGTTGCCTGCTAAAAACAAAAAAAAACTTGTTTTCTTTTAAATGGCTCTGATGATCCAAGCGCTGACGATCCCAGCTGAGTTGCCTGCCAATCAGGCAACTCAGCTGGGATCGTCAGAGCCTTTTGAAAGCATTTTTTTACATGGTTTTACATGTAAAAAATGGTTTTAAAAGTAAAAAAAAAAAATTGGCCACGCCCATCGTCACATTATCCCACACACACACCAAGCCATGCCCACAGAACTGGTAGTAACAAATTTTAGATTTCACCCCTGTGCTAATCTGAATAATTTCTCTTAGGGATGTACATTATTCTTTCCTTTTTTATTGCTCTTATTATTGTTTTGTGCTGTACACTGGCCAGAGTTTTTATGGGTAGAGATAGATAGATAGATAGATAGATAGATAGATAGATAGATAGATAGATAGATAGACATTTCTGAGTTCTTCCAGAAGACAGCTTAAGAACCAATGTGTTTACATTACTAAAAATAGATTTTAGCTGGACAACAGGAAAGATCTAATGATAACAGTCAATGGAATACATTACTTTGCAAGATGGGGAACTACTTCACTGGAAATATTTAAACAATAGATGTATGGCCATCTTTTGAATATGTTGCAGTAATGGCTTTTGATAACGGGGCTGAATTAGATGATTACCAAGATTCCTTTCAACTCTATTTTCTAAGGCTCTGTATGAAACAACATTACTATGTAAACCAAAACCAAAACCAAATGTGATTAATGAAAGAGGTTAGTAATGGGAATTTACTTACCCTCCCTAACAGGTGGGACTTCTTCAGACGAAGATGTACTCTCTTTTGCAGCAATAAAATAAGTTGGAAAGACATTTCAGAATGCACAATAGTATGAAATAAGGTAATGTATGTCTCAAAGAACCTGTATGCTGTGTATGTCAAAATCCAATAATGTGATTTGTTTTTTATTAAATTAAAAGTTACAAAAAATTATGGTTCTCTTAAATACATTCCTAAAATACAGGGCAATATTTTCAACATACATAACACAGTAAATATAATCTTAGACATTAGATTTTTTTATACATTAAAATATTTTCTGCAGTTACCTTAATCCATGTGCACATGAACAAGTTAATGTCTTAAAACCCTTTAATTCCAATTTATTCTTCAAAAGGAAAAGTTAAAATAAAATAGTCTTAAAGAGATATAGACTATTCCTTAGAAATAAATATTTACATGAACCAGTAGCTGACTCCTTAAGCCAGCAGCATCCTCAGGTGAGTGTCAAAAAAACAAAAGAAACAAATACAACTGTCGCAGCATAGTAGAGCTTTATTCATGCTACTATAACTGCCATCTTGATTTTTCAATGCTCTCTAGGAGGTCACCTCATGTTTTTTTAAATATTGCCCTCCTGTGGGAAATCTATTTTTGTACATAAAACATGAAGACAATATAGATATGATGTGCTGCTAACAGCGTTCATGTGTCGATGTTCTCAGGTTACCACATCACAGATTACTGGAAATTATATACATTAATATCAACAGTCTTAAAAAAATACATTTTCTAGTAATTTAAATCATTTTAACCGTATTTCACTAAAATCGTTCAGGCATTCGTATGATGAGATTTATGTCCTTATCGCCATTCTGAAGAAGCACCGGATAATACAGCTTCCAAGGTTTAGCTGATCTGAACGATGGAGATCTCACTGTACCAAACATGGTGAAAAAGATGAACCACTATAAAAAACTGAGTTCAAATACATGCCTTAAAGTGAAAATATTGACTGATCAAGTTCTTAGTTCCACAATTCTGGATAGTAAACTTATCAGCACTGAAGGAGGTGTAATACTGAAAGACAAACTTAATTGAAGTAAATGCTTCTGAGGAAAGAACTGCATAATCTCAATCTTCTCAATCTTTTGCTTTGTATTAATTGCTTTCATCTTACTTTCTTCTGATAAGAACTAGGATGATAACCAAACTCATATTTGATTTTCAGACTGTTTGATGCAATCTTGATCCAATATCTTTGTGAGCAAATAGATTTTATCACAATCTGGAAAATTTAACATTAACCTCAGTATTAAACAATTTCCTTCCATAGAGTGTGGAAACTTAATTAATATTGTAAATAGCACACTTTTATGTTCATTGGCCACTTCTTAGCAACTGGGAGGGGGAAATAGGGGAACAAAGTTCTAGTAGAAAAAACCCTCATACAGAGGGATGCTCTGTAACTCCCTTTTAGGGGACACAAGGAACATAAAATGTGGGCTTGATGGAACAAAGCAGAACAAAACAGGTACGAATTTTTGAAACAGGCTATGTGTTGAAACCAAATTTGAAGTTCAGAGTTAGCTGCTGCATTGGGACAACCAATGAAGCTTGAAGCTGAATTTTGTTAATTTGAAGAAGCAAAAAGGAAAGTCCTCACATAGCACAATTCATTACATGATGTTGTGAAAGCTAGTCATTTGGCTGGCTCCAGAAAGGGACTACACATATTTTGCTGGCTTTATGCCTCTTTCAGAGTATGAAGAAAATGAAATCCAGAGGGTGAAAAACTTGGAGGAAGACAACAGTATTATATTCATGTCCTGCTCATATGCTTCCCAGTCATACCTGATTGATCACTGTGGAATTAATCTTTTGCTTTCCAATATCCATTTTATATGCAGATATGAAATTTCCTTATTTCAGTTTCTGGAAGCTTGGAAAATGCTTTGCTTTAATTTATCCATCCAAATGAGATTTTGATACCGTATTCTTAATGGAATCTTTTTTTTTTAATCTTCCTTGACCATATCATTTTGAGAAATACACCATGTACAGTAGGTTTCTAGATCAAATTCTAAATTTTAATCTAAAAACCCCTTCAAGAAAACACACAATTGTCAAAATAAAAAAAATATTCACATACAGTCTAGGCACACTTGACACCTAGCTTATTCACAGTCCATATATTAATAAAATTCTTTTTACATCTCTCCTTGCTTCTTCGCTTGAATGAAGCTTTCTCTTGCCGTTTAAAGTCATTCTCCTAATAATCTTTTGCCATCTTTCCAATCCAGGTTTTCAAGGAATCCTGCTTTATATTTCAAGAGTTCCATTTCTCCTGCAACTTTAATCTTATATGTTTGTACATTAAAGTGGTCAGGAAAGTAACAATTTGCACATTATTTTTCTTGTTCTCCTTAACTTGTTCTAAAGATGAGAGAAAGCATATTTTGCCCAATTAAAGTAACCACATCAAATATTTTTCAAATAATTTGCTTCATATTATAAGCAGCAGTGTCCTTGTGTTCAATGTAGCGGTTTTTTTGACACTACAAAAATTAGCTGATTGCCAAGAACTGAAACAGATTTAAATCAGTACTTAATGTAAACAGATTAAAAAATTAATTTACATTATACAATGTAAGATGTAAGATAAATAATCACAGGAAATCTAAACATGTATATATGATGCACAGGGAATTAGATCAGTATTAAATGCTTCTTAATATTATCAAAACATAATATTTATAAAGAAATTATCTGGGAATAAGAATTATCTATCAAAGAAGTAGAAAGGCAGTCCCAAGTGCTACTTAAGAGGCATAAATGTGGTATAAAGATATTTATGATAGCATCTCAAACCATTACTTCAGGATTGTTTATATCTTCCCTATAATAGCACTCATGTGGGAACTTTAATGCCTGAATTAGATCTAAGTAATATAATTATTATTTTTAATATAGTATGTAGTTCTACAGATGTTTCCCAGTAGGGCAGTAAAATGGACCACCCATAGCTTAAAAAGCTACACTTCATTGGATATTGCTGGTACACACATCTGAATTTCTAAAAAAAAAAAAGGGGGGGGAGTAAAAAGATCTGTGTATGCTAAGTGAAATCCAAAAGACATTGAATGTTAGCCCAATAAATGTTAGGTAAAATAAGCATGGGAAAGAAGATTGGGGCAACTAAGTACCTAAAAAGATGTATAATGTTCAGGAATTAGGTTCAAATGATGTACACTGTGAAGTTATTATCCATTTGTCTTACATAATCTAACTCCGTTCCAAATTTTGCCTAGGTTACCAGCTTCCTATTAAGGACAGTTATCCATCTGAAATGAAGCTCAGGGAAGAATAAATGCTTCCAAAATTAAGGATTTAACTAGCCATAGTCTCATTTTTAAAAGAAATCTTCTATACAGTACTGCAAATAAGAAGATGCAACATGACACAAACTTCGAATCAGCAAGCTAAGCACTCAGACCTGAACTAGAATACTATAGGAAGAAAAGTAGAACTATAGTAGTCAGTAGGGATGAAATAAATCAAAAGTGCATCACATTGGTCCAGAATGCAGTGGCCTGTGCAGAGTTGGGCGCATCTAGATTCATCCATGTTATACCTCTGTTGTGCAAGTTGCATTGGTTCCTTGTTTCCTTCAGGTGCCAATTCATGGTAGTAGTTATTACCTTTAAGCCTACATGGCACAGGACCAGGTAATTTGTGGGACCATCTTTCCCTGAGGACACCTCTCTTCTCCACCATATCTGATATGATAGGCACACTCCTGGTCCCTTCCCTTAAATGCTGCCATCTTATGGGACCTAGGAAATGTGTCTTCTCCTGTTCTATGGAACACCCTTCCTCCAAAGATCAAGCAGGCCCCTACCCTTTTGATCTTCTAAATTGCACTTAAGGCCTGGTGGTTTTCCCTAGTGTTGAGATGAGGTTGAAATTGGCAAACCTGTTGAGAGCTGCATGGGAAAGTTTAGCTGTAGTGCCAGATGTTTGTTTGTTTGTTTGTTTGTTTGTTTGTTTGTTTTAATGCTTTTCTTTCACTGTTTCTTTCACTTTTATTGTGAGCTGCCCAAAGTCTGGTTTAAGATAGGTGACTATATAAATGTTTTAAATAAATTAAGTAAATAAATAAATTTTACTGCAGATTTTATATGTGTATTGTTCAAGTTACTGTTTCAATTTAAGTTTGGTTTAGCTGAATTGTTTTCATAAAAGTAAGTTTTCATAATGATAGGTAACTGTTGACGTTTACAGATACTAATTAGATTAAATAAAACAAGATTACTTACATTTTTAAGGACACTTTGTTTCTTTCTAGAAAAAATAATTGCAACGTTTTTACATCTTATCTCAGTCTCACTTTGCTCTGCATGCCATCAGCCCCACCTACCTGTTTGTAAACACTCTCGCTTATGCCGTTCATTCCAAGCCTTGACTTTGCAAGACTTGCTACAAGTGAAGATCTCAAAACAATGTTGACAAGGTGAAAGGGTCACACCAACAGATCGTCCACACTGGTAGCAGTATTTAAAGAACAGCGATCTGTTAAAAAAAATGTGGTTACAAGAAAGATTAGGGATGTAACATGTAAACTTTTTGGAACACATACATAATAAAGAAATTTGCTCAAATATTACAAAGTTGGAATATATATGATTCTGTACATCAAGAGTTTTGAACTTCAACACTTGTTTCCTTATGTTGTGATTCTATTATGTGACTATTGAAAGTTATTTCAATAATTTCCTATCATATAGCCATGCTGTCTCTTAATCTTCTAATTAAACTCCCCCAAATTAATGTTTTATGGGCTTGTCAATATATACAGTCAATAAGCAACTTTTACCAGTGCTCATTTTCTTAATATTTTTTCAGCTAATTTTTATATCACACTCATAAGAAATCTGAATACTGACTTTAAAGTTTGTTGGAGATTGGAGGAATGCACAATAAATTTATGCACTTTATGTCCAATGTGTATGTATGTATGTCTGGGTATAGGTATATATGGATGAATATATCTATATATACATATACTATATATAAACAACACACAGCAACAATATTATAGATACTAAATTGAAAATTTAAAAAGGGGTTCATATCTGGATTTAGGACATCTATTTTAGAAGCCATATGAAGATGAAATAGCTTAAAGGGAACATCATTTTGAGCTCTGCAGCAGAATACTCAATCTATATGTCTGGTTCCATTAGTGATGACAACAATACTAAAACCAACTATCACAACCATCTATAAGTACAACAAGCAAATTAAATTTTGATTCATAGAACTTACTTTGATGAATCTATTTCTGGTAATGGTCCTAAAGAGGTATTTATCGATTTCCTTCTTACTCCTGCAGAAGCTGAAATGCAAATATTATTATAATTGGTTTGTCACATAGTCACATGTTTAGATTGGATTTGGCATTTTTATCTACCTATCCTTTCCAAGGACCTAGGATAGGCAGATGTTTTTGTTTGATGATGTATGATTCATTCCAGTCAACCAGATGTTTGTATTTGCCATTTTTATCCACCTTTCGAGTCCTTCCCAAGGCTTGGGTTAGGGAGATGTTATTATTTGCTAATGTTAAACGTATCATTGCAGTGTGTAAGTTGTTCCAACTGATTCCTTTTGCAATTGACTGATGGTGATTTTGTCAATGCTGATGGTGCTCAAGTGATGCTCCAGATGTTTTGAGATTGCACCAAGGCACCTATAACTATTGGTACTATCTTTGCTTTCTTTTGCCCCAATCATTCTATTTCTATTTGCAGGTCATTGTATTTGTGATCTTCTCCAGCTCTTTCTCTTCTATTCTGCTGTCTCCAGGTACTGCCACATCCACTATCTAGACTTTTTTGTCCTTCTTATAGACAATTGTTAAGTCTGGGATGTTATGTGGCAGGTGCTTGTCTGTTTGAGTGCTAAATTCCCAGGATATGTTACTTCTTCGTTTTCTTTTACTTTCACTATTTTAAGGTCCCACCAGTTCTTCCTTGCAGACAAATGGGATTTCTTGCAAATATTCGAACACACCATTGTTGCTATTTTGTCATGCCATCTTTTATAGTCAGTCTGTGCAATCTTTTTGCAGCAGCTAATTAAAGGTCCAATGTTTCTTCAGCTTTTTTGCAGAGGTGGCTTTTGCTGTCTGTTGCTGTCCTCTCCGATTCTTGCTTTGTATTCATTTGTTCTTAAGGCTTGGTCTTATGCAGCCAGTATTAGCCACTCTGTCTCTTTCTTCAATTTTCCTGCTCTTAGCCATTGCCAAGTCTTCTTGTTATTTATTTTTCCTGCTTTTTTTAGAAAAAATGTACTAGTCATATAAAATTTTGCCTTGCTGTCTCTTTCCTATTCTTCATTGGGTCTTTCTTGAAGGCCAGTTTGGTCTCTCCACAACTCAGTAAGCCTGCATTACTGAGTATGCTAGCTTTAATATATCATCTTCACTATCCTTCAGATATTCTTCCAATGGCCTTTTTTCTTCTTCAACTGTCTGGTATGCTTGCAACATTATTCACCTATTTCCCTTGGTAAGTACAATCTATCAATATTGATGTATGTATGAAAGGCATAATTCATTGCCGTTATTTTTTTGGTCTTTCTATTCAGGGCTTTTAGTTCTGCTTGACTCCAGTCTACTGTTTCAGTTGTACATCTAATGACTGGAATCACCCAGGTGAGTTAATTGTCTTGATATTTCCTCAGCTGAGTTTGGACTTTAAGATCTTCATTACTCTCATAACTGTATTCATTTCTAACCTCCTTCCTGATTATATATATATATATATTTTTGCTTTAATTTATATGCCGCCCTTCTCCGGAAACTCAGGGTGGCTTACAATGCGTTAAGCAATAGCCTTCATACTTTTGTATATTTATACAAAGTCAGCTTATTTCCCCCACAATCTGGGTCCTCATTTTACCTACCTTTGAAAGGATGGAAGGCTGAGTCAATCTTGAGCCTGGTGAGATTTGAACTTGCAGTAATTGCAAGCAGCAGATGTTAATAACAGTGCTTTAGTCCACTGTACTACAGGCTAAATGTGTGCATGATGTTGGCATCCTAAAGGATCTCCAAGTGTAGTGATCATCCTCATCCAGTTTCTTGATGTTATTTCTATACGGTGTCTTGATTTATTGTTTTCACTATTTTCCCCCATTATAACTGGTTGCACAGTCAACCAGATATTCATGCTGAATTTGGCATTTTCGTCCATCTATTATTAAAACTGATCTCATGAGAGCTATTGTTGCTTTTCTAAATGCCAGAGTCAATCTTATTTTTTCAGAATTGTTAGCAGTATTAGCCAATTTTTTAATAAAAACAAATAAATTTCAACGTCTGAGAATGAAATTAAACATTATAAGAATTGCATATAAGTATCAATATCTTTAGCCTCCTTTTTGTCTCAGCACAGTATATCTTGTGAATACAAAATGATAACAAGATAATATCATACTACCACATTTCCCAGGTGATAGGAGGAAAGTTGACAATGAATCCCAAGTTTAACTTTTTAGGTTCATATTTTTAAATAATCTCCAGCTGCAAGAAAACACCTCTGCCCTAAGTATTCTAATCGAAGTCTAGAACTGGTTTATATTGTTTTTTTTTAATTTTAAATTCTAACTTGGACTCACCAATTTTGATTTTCCTAAATTCTTCTTCATCCCATTGTTTTTCCTTTTCACTGACGCACTCACGAAGCCGGTCACTGAGAAAATCCAGCATCTTTCGTCGAAATGCATATGTATCCCTCTCTATTGGTGACAGAGAATGGAGGGGAGTATGCAACACTCTTTTATCCTACAATACATAAGCATTATTTTTAGTATGTAACTAGGAAATGTGCATAAAAATTATAGATAGCAATAGTACCTAGACTTATATACCACTTCATAGTGCTTTACAGCCCTCTCTAAGCAGTTTACAGAATCAGCATATTGTCCCCAACAATCTGGATCCTCATTTTTACTGATCTCAGAAGGATGGAAGGTTGAGTCAACCTTGAGCTGGTGAGAATCAAACTGCTGCCTGTTGGCAGAATTAGCCTGCAATACTGCATTTTAACCCCTGTGCCACCACAACTCATATGGTCAAGTAGTCAGATAGTCCTTGAGTTACAACCATTCCTCTAGCAATTTTCAAAGCTAAGATGAAGCCGAGCAAATGTATAGTCCCAACTATTGCAGTATCCATACAGTCACATAATTGTGGTCTGGGCACTAGGCATCCACATGTGATTATGGCATTGTAGCAAGTTGCAGTCATGTGATTGTGATTTCTGATGCTCCTTGCCAGTTTCCCATAAGCAAAATTTATAATTTGTTTCTGATAAAAACAATGCCACCTATGTTTTTTACTTAATTTCTAGTTTTCCTAGCAGACATTTAGAAAGTCAGTCACCAGAACATTCTTTTCTGCGCCTTCATACATGCAAGGGAAATAAATTCACCAGTGATTCTATTTCCATGCTTGCATAAATAAAAATATGCCTTTAACAGAGATTGATAATATTGTTTCCTATAATGTAATAATATATTATTTGCAAGTAATTTATAAACAGAAGTGTAAAACATAAATAACATCAAAACCCAGTGTATTTTGATGAAAGCAACTACAAACAAACACCTTTCTATCCATTGTCTTTATCCATGATAATGTAGCACAGATGTTTTGGCACATGTAGAATTCTGGGCAGAAGCACTGATGAAGCCTTTTAATTACATTCTAAGTCATCTATATGCTAGTGAAACACAGGTTTACTTAATCCCAGACAGTACCACCAAATGTTGATCAAAGTACATTGATCAAAGAAAATGAGAAAAGTTTTCAAAAATTGCAAAAGTTTCAAAATAAGCTATGTGTAAAATGCAAAGAAGAATAAGAAGTATTAAATAAATGACATTCAAGAAAAAGAGAAAGGGAAAGGAAATCTAAATAAATCTCATTTATATCAACACCATTCACCAGACTTTTCCATTTACAAATCATCCTTGTTTCCATCACATTTATATATCTATTGCCACAATACTTTTTTATGAGCTCCTTACCTTTCTCAACGATCAGTTCCATCTAACCATGACTTTCTCAATCATTCTCTTCTCAACCATACCTTAAGATATTGAATGTTCATTCATTTTCTCCATATAATTACGTCACCTCAACATAGTTCTTTTGTAGTAGTTATTTTTATATTTGATCCATTAATTAATTCAGCACCCATTCATTCTTCACTCTATCTCTTGTCTTACCATAACATTTAAATACCTTATTCAACTTACCCTTAGGTTTTCCTGACATACATGACTCTTACTTCCATGTAACAAATTAAACAGTAGCAACAGTAGTGCATTCCGCAAAACACAGGACTGTAGATATATCATATTTTGAATTTTCAAATATGGAAAAAGATACCTGATAATATTTGAAATATGCATAGTCCACAACTGTCCCCACTGCAGTTCTACCCTCATCAATAAGAGTAATTGGCAACAACATATCTGCACCTGCTGCTAGGAGAGAATCAATCTAAGTAGAAAATAAAATAAATGTAGAACATCAAGAGTTATATGCAGCCATTTCCACCAATGTTACACATAGGCAAATCAATATAGTTAAACCTGAAGGTCATTGATTTATTACTAGCATTTATATAGAAATAAGGCATAACTATACACACGAACATCTTTATACACATCTTTAGGAAGATGCACACAATTCAGTTAATGTTTACAAGTATTCACACACATGTCTATAAACCTAATAGTTACTTAATTACATTAATCATGTAAAAGCAAATTTCTTAATGTTTCGGTATCTTCTTCTTAAGCCATTATGTTACAATCGGAAACTGAAGTTCTGGATAATCAGATGTAGAATTTAATTTGTGTTAAAACTGAACCACAACCAAACTTAATATGGGGATATAGATTTTTCGCTTTGTGCGGTATAGATAATGACGTTTTATATCTAAATGATTACTTGCTTATGTAAGTATACTAGGAAGGCGGACAGACAAATTGGAGCCATCAGTTTGTCAATGCCGTCTACTGTTCACGCAATCCCCTGGTCTCTCAGCCATGCAATATGCTGACCTCTCCCTGTAATACTACAAATCTATATCAGCTCTATTTTTGATTCTTTAATCCTTGAGCCTTTTACAGCCTCTTTTCTCGCTTTTTTCGTCAATTCATAGCTTTTCCATCCTGCTTCACCATTATAATGACTTTTATTTTATTTTACTTTTGTTTTGGCAGGGGGTTAGAAAAATTTACAATCTTTATTTGGAAAAGAGTATTATTATTATTATTATTATTATTATTATTATTATTATTATTATTATTATTAATTTTATTTCTATACCGCCCTTCTCCCGAAGGACTCAGGGCAGTGTACAGCCTGATTAAAGGCACAAAGACAGACAAAATTTAAAAATAATTAAAATTATTAAATAATTGGCTCAATTATAAAACCCCCAAATTTAAAACCCCACATTTAAAACCAATTAAAATCTTTACATTGATAGCCCGGCCTGGTGGAACAACAAGGTTTTGAGGGCACAGCGAAATACACGGAGATCGGAGATCTTACGCATTTCTGGGGGCAGTTCATTCCAAAGGGCAGGGGCTCCCACAGAGAAGGCCCTCCCCCTGGGTGTCGTCAGCCGACATAATTTGGCCAATGGCACCCTGGGGAGACCCTCTCTGTGGGAGCGGACTGGCCGGTGGGAAGCTACTGGTGGCAGAAGACCAAACATGCAACACTTTTCTTACCTGCGCCATCTTAGCTGCTATTGTCCCACTCTGTTCATATGCAGGATTAACAACAGCACACAAGGCACTTGCAATACTTTGGCTTAAAGGTAGATTTGGTTCAGCTCCACCAGCCAGAAGTTCAGCTACTGCCTAAATGTAGGAGAAAGAAAAGGAAATATTTTTTAACATTCTCCTGAATATTATTGTTTCAGATCTGGGTAAAATGCCTTGCCTGAGCAAATTTTGGGCAGGGCTAAAAATAGCCAAAATAATATTTTTGTTAGGGATTTAAAGAGAGAAACTGGTGTCCACGAATTGGCTTCCACATTCCTAAAGCAGTGATTTCATCCATTAAAAATCACCAAAACAGGGAGTTCTACATGGTTTCAGTTAAAGACACAAAACTATTTTTCCTGCTTCTCCCTTTGTTCTTGTCCGCAGCTAAATATGAGGCTCACACAACAGTAAGGCACTAATTAAACAGGACAGGTCTTCCAGCAGTAATGTCCTACTCTGGTGTAGCAGAAGGGATCATAGGATGAGCTAAGGCAAGAATATGATAAAAAATGTCTAATCTTGCTTGTTTGCAGCCAAAGGCCAAAGAAAGAAACTACTTTGTATCGAAACTGCTATGTAAACCTGAGTGGGAGGGGCAGGTATGGCGGGAGCAGGGGGCCATATCATGTGGTGGGGGCTCGTGCTCGCTATCTTCGAGCGATTGCGTGCCCCGGCCCCCTTAGCTCTTCCCGTTCCCCAGGCTGCTTAGAGTCTCAGCGCCCGAGTCTCCGGCTGATGTTATGTAATGCCAGGTCCGTGGTAAATAAAGCCCCCCTCATTTGTGATCTTATTCAGGAGGGGGGAGCGGACCTGGCAGGTATCACGGAGACCTGGTTGGGCCATGAGGGGGGAGTTCCCCTCGTGGAGATGTGCCCACCAGGCTTCCGGGCATTTCATCAGCCGAGAGCTCAGGGCAGGGGCGGGGGGGTGGCGGTCATTCTAAAAGAAGGTCTTGATCCGAGGGAGACCACTGTACCTCAGATAGCCGGATGTGAGTCCCTTTTTGTGAAGTGGGGTCGCGGGGTGCAGATGGGTCTGTTGATCACGTACCTGGCTCCCTGCCACGTGGCAACGACCCTGCCCGAGCTCCTCAATGTTATAGCCGAGGTGGCGGCTGATACCCCCAGACTTGTGGTCATGGGGGATTTCAACCTGCCATCCATCGGTGAAACATCTGAGGTAGCTCGGGAGTTCATGGCTTCCATGACGGCCATGGACCTGACCCAAGTAATTCACGGCCCTACTCATATGGGGGGACACACTCTGGACCTAGTTTTTATCTCTGGTCAGTGGTTGAGTGGCCTCGATATAGGGGATGTAGATATCGAACCCTTGTCATGGTCTGACCACTCGCTCCTTCGACTTGACTTTCTGACCGCCGTACCCCGTCGCAGGGAGGCGGAACCGACCAGGTGGTTCCGCCCCAGGCGCCTGATGGACCCTGATAGGTTCCAGATGGAGCTTGGGCCATTTCCTGAGACTCTAGCTCATGACTCGGCTGATGACCTGGTGGCCGCCTGGGATAGGGCGGCTGCCGGGGCTTTGGACCGGGTCGTGCCTTTGCGGCCTCTGACCCGGCACCGAACTCACCTAGCTCCTTGGTTTTCCGAGGAGCTGAGGGAGATGAAGCGCCGGAAAAGACGCCTAGAGAGCAGTTGGAGGGCCAGTCGTTCCGAGTCTGACTTGACACTGGTAAGGTCTCATATTAAGACCTACCTAGTGGCGATAAAAGCGGCGAAATCTAGCTATTTTGCCGCTCTTATCGCGTCATCAGATAACCGCCCAGCCACCCTGTTTAGGGTGACCCGCTCCCTCCTCCATCTGGGAGCGCGGGAGGACCCCTTGCAGGGCCGAGCTGAGGATTTTGTACAGTATCTGGATGATAAAATAACTCAGATTCGGGAAGACTTGGCCGCCGACTGGGTTAGTTCAGACGAGATGACTGAGGCAGGCCTTGAGAATGTTATCTGGGAGGAGTTCGATCCTGTGGCTCCCGAGGACATGGACAGGATCTTGGGACGGCTGAACGCAACCACATGTTTATTGGACCCGTGTCCCTCCTGGTTGGTGCTGGCTTCCCGGGAGGTTACACGAGGCTGGCTCCAGGGGATTATTAACGCTTCTTTGAGCGAGGGTGTCCTGCCGGCCGCCTTGAAAGAGGCGGTGGTGAGGCCTCTCCTCAAGAAGCCATCCCTGGATCCGGCTATTTTGGCTAACTATCGTCCAGTCTCCAACCTTCGCTTTATTGCGAAGGTTGTTGAGAGTGTGGTGGCGCGACAGCTTCCCCGGTACCTGGATGAAGCTGTCTATCTGGATCCGCTCCAGTCCGGCTTCAGACCTGGGTACAGCACGGAAACGGCATTGGTCGCGTTGGTGGATGATCTCTGGAGGGCCCGGGATAGGGGTTATTCCTCTATCCTGGTCCTATTAGACCTCTCAGCGGCTTTTGATACCATCGACCATGGTATCATATTGCGCCGGCTGGAGGGACTGGGAGTGGGGGGCACTGTTTTGCGGTGGTTCTCCTCCTATCTCTCCGACCGGTCGCAATCTGTGTTGACAGGGGGGCAGCGGTCGACCCCAAGGCGCCTTGTTTGTGGGGTGCCGCAAGGGTCGGTCCTCTCGCCCCTCCTGTTCAACATTTATGTGAAGCCGCTGGGTGAGATCATCCGTGGTTTTGGGGTGGAGTTCCATCAGTACGCTGATGACACTCAGCTGTACATTTCCACCCCAGACCATCCCAATGATGCCTTGGAAGTGATGTCCCAGTGCCTGGAGGCCGTGCGGGTCTGGATGGGGAGAAACAGGCTTCGACTCAACCCTTCCAAGACCGAGTGGCTGTGGCTGCCGGCGTCCCGGTATAGCCAGCTGACGCCATCGCTGGTTATTGGGGGCGAATCATTGGCCCCCACAGAGAGGGTCCGCAACTTGGGTGTCCTCCTGGATGCGCGGCTGTCCTTAGAAGGGCATATGACAGCCGTGGCCAGGAGGGCTTTTTGTCAGGTTCGCCTGATACGCCAGTTGCGTCCCTTTCTGGACCGGGACTCCCTACGCACGGTCACTCAAGCACTCGTCACTTCTCGTCTGGACTATTGTAACGCTCTCTACATGGGGCTCCCCTTGGGGTGCACCCAGAGGCTCCAACTGGTGCAGAATGCGGCTGCGCGGGGGATTATGGGAGCGACGGGGCGCTCCCATGTGACTCCTCTCCTGCGCGAGCTGCATTGGCTTCCGGTGGACTTCCGGGTGCGCTTCAAGGTGTTGGTGATTACCTTTAAAGCGCTCCATGGCTTAGGGCCAGGGTACTTACGGGACCGCCTTCTGCCACCAATAGCCTCCCACCGGCCGGTTCGCTCCCACAGAGAGGGTCTCCTCAGGGTGCCGTCGGCCAGACAATGCCGGCTGACGACCCCCAGGAGGAGAGCCTTCTCTGTGGTGGCACCTACCCTATGGAACAATCTACCCCCAGAGATACGAGTGATTTCCGACCTCCGGATTTTTCGTCGGGCCCTAAAAACTCATTTTTTTCAACTAGCTGGTCTGTCCTGATTTTAGGGTTAGTTTTAAAATTTTTAAAATTTTAATATTTATTTTAATTGACAAATTTTAAATTATGAGCCAAATTTATAAATTATCTTAATCTTATTTTAATTGTGATGTTTGTTATAGATGTTTTTTATCTGGCTGTTCACCGCCCTGAGTCCGAAAGGAGAAGGGCGGTATAGAAATGCGAATAAATAAATAAATAAATAAATAAATAAATAAACCTGATTTTTTGTATATATAATAATTTTATGAAAATAGCAAACCTAGGTTAGAACTTGCTGAGGAAACGATGACAATGTCAAGCCATCACATAGTCCATTTTAGGAGCAAGCACAAGTCTTTGATCATGAGATACACTTTTTGACTATTACTATTATCAGCCTCCATGGGTTGCATTAGAAAATAAATACACTAACACATAACCATATTTTTGGAAGGGTATTGTGGCATTGCATGATGAAGAGTTATTTCTGATCTGAATCATTCCTCTGCATCATCTATTTGTTAAGGAATATAAAATAAATGATATTTATTCATTCATTTATTTCTATTTATCCATTCAATTAATATTGTCTACTTCACATATGATTCAGGGTAGCATCATCCAATTCCTGAGAGAAAAGCCAGGTCTATATTTTCAATATTTTCAATAATGTTATGTGTATATATTTTATGCAGGTTTTTCTCTGGCCTAAAGCGTTTGTATTGTTACTGAATATAACAGAACATAAAATAAGTATTTTGAAATTAAAAAATCTATAATCCAATTTACAATTAAAATACAAAAAATAATAGTTAAAAATAATTTTACATTTGTGTGGCACTGTCAATTGTCAAATGGGACTGCAGGAAGAAGAATTCAACTTCCTCCTCCCCATGGAGAGAACTGATTGAAAATGGATCCTCTAACATTATCAATTTTCTAAAGACAAAAACAGCCAAACTAACAAACAAAATTCCTAACAATGTGAACATTACCATGTATAGATAGCATGACTGTAAATTGCTGTCATTTTCTGTTGTTCTCTCCATCAACTCTTAATGGAACTTTAATACTAATTTTAAAATCCAAATCAATAGATTTGTAACTCTTACTACAATAGTGTTGACTATAAATTACTTGAACCATATAGCTGATTACTGAATCAGTATCAACATGTCTCAAAATATATGTATATATTTTTTAACTTTCCATATGCTTCAAGGAATCTTTATTGTCCATTTTATGTGCTAGTATCATTGTATATATTACCTACAAATGTTGACATAAGGATTGGAATCCCTGCTCTGAGTTTGCCACAATTAAAATAATTTTGAAATAATGCTTACAACTATTGTTAAAAATGCTTGTAAACACAAGAATCTTGCACACCTGTTCATTTCCACCAGCAACTGCAAGTGAAAGAGGGGAATGGCCACTCCACAGGACATTTGGATTTGCATTGTGATCTAACAGAAGATGAATAACTTTGCCAGTATTCTGATGGGGAGAATTAAAAAACAAAAAATAGATCAGTACAGATACTGTTTTTTAATTAAAATAAAGAGTAAGGACACATTTAAATAAGATATTTAAGTTAGGCCACATTTTTAAATTTAAAGCAAAAATATTACACCTATTTTATCCTGAAGGAAAAAACTGAAGCTGGTTCCAAATTGGACATTTACTTACCTTTGTGCATATAAACATATTCAGATCAGAACAACATATCACAAATTATGGATCTGGTGCTATGAATACAAAGTCACAACAGTAAATAATATATATTTTAGACTGCTTGGCAGATATGGGAATTTATGAATGCTGTCGTCATTTGGTCATGCAGTCACCCTCAATTCTTTGTGCCCTGACGGACCTCACTTTGTCAGTATTGCTTGCTTCTCTGAGTTCTTGTCAGTTCACGCTTGTGTCGTCAGCGGCTTCAAATCACTTTGTCTTCTGTTGGCCTTCCAATGCAGAACCTATCCTGCTATGGCTCATGCACGTCAATAGAAGAAACAACCTTTGCATGCACAGATTTTTTTTCTCCCTATTATAATGAGTACGTCATTCCAAGAACACTTATGTGATCAAAATCAGATTGACACAGAAAATGCTGCTTGAAAGAAACTGTAGTGGTTTTCCTCCAAAATAGTTCACCTTTAAAATGAGAGCTTTATTTTACAGTTCCTTACAATATAACTGTCACCTTTTCTTGTTTTGGACAGAGAGGTTGTTTTAAATATAGAGTTGGATTATTTTTACATGTGAGAACAATAGGTTGCAATCCAATACTTTTGAACAGACAGGACTTGTTTTGCTGATATTTTGAACAAAACTACAAAACCTTTCACCTTTTCTCCTTTTCCCCTTATCTGTGTGCATACCTGTATAATCTCCTAATTTTATTCCTTAATCTATTATAGCCAAATTTGTAACCTGCTACAATTGTACATCACACTTTTCCTCATCTCTGCCCTTTGCTTTCTTTCGCTTATACGTTCCAGAGTAGTTTTTCCTTTCCTTTAAATAATTCAATAAAAGTTATGCAAGTGATTACAACAGTTGCACTTAAAGCATGAGGAAGAGATATTTTTGTTATCTTTTAAAGTCAACATTATCTCCTGAAAAAGCTAAACTCATAAACTGGAGTGCTCAGCTCTTGGAGAAAGTAGTTCCCCTTTCCAGGAATGAAAAGAGCTGCTCCTTCCTACTCAACAAAACCAATCTGGGACAGAGAATTTTCAACAAGATAATTACTGCAACAGCAGTAGGATATAAGCAGAGGAGAGAGAACAAGCCATATAATTATCTCCCCAATAACTTAAGCAATCCCTGTGGTATGTATCTTTATTATGTCTTAACCTTCACTTATAGGCATCTCAGGATCCCTGTGGACAACAAGAAGGGCAGAATGTAAAAAGCAGCAGAAAGGTTTGTCCAAATGAATAATTTACTATAAATAACAACAGAAAAAAATTCACTAAAGAAGATAATGAAACAACAACAACAAAAAAAAAAACAGCAATGGCCACCAGTAAAATAGGCCAACAGTGAAGGTAATAGAACCGAGACAGAAAAATCAGCTCTTGCTGATTTCAAAATGCAATAAAACAAAACTTTGAAAGATTTAAGGACATTAAATAATATTGCTCAGAAATAAAAAAAAGTTTATGTTCTCTTTTCTGAAAAGTTCATTTCAATACAATTATAATATATACCCTTTTAGTTTTTGATATTTTATGGATATCAAGACAAAAAGGAATTCAAGTATTCCTTGACTTATAATTATTTGTTTAACAACCACTCAAAGTTACAAAGGTATTGAAAAAAGTACTTTATGAACAGTCCTCACACTTACTTATTCATGCAGTCACTTGATCAAAACTTGGACACTTGGCAACCAGTATGTATTCATTATGGTTGCAGCCACTTGGGATCATAAAATCACCACTGCAACCTTTCCAATAAACAAGATCAAACGGAAAGCCAGATTTGCTTAACAACGGTGGCAAAAAGGTTGTAAAATCAAATGCAACTCACTTAATGAGCACATCACTTAGCTATGGAAATTCTGATCTCAACTGTGGTCATAAATCAAGGACTACTTGGAAGGCTTTTGGCATATTTATCTTTCCCAACTAAATTTTGTAGCTGGTAATCTAATTAACATAATAAACAAATATTCAATGCATCAGTTAGTTTAATTAATGATAGGGAAACTTCATTAAGGAAATAAAGATAATGTGTTGGGCCTCAGACAGGGCTGAAAAGTTGCTCTCCGTGGCTCAGTTCATTATTTTTAAAACAGAATCCTTCTAAAAAGTAGCATCTGTAATAGGCTGTCAAAGAAGGTACAATTAATGAAGCGCTCTGGATCTTAACCAATACTTAATATTTTTATGCAAATTATCATTAGATGAATTGAATGATTTTGTATCTGGTTAATTATAAAATGTAGGATTCTCAGGTGTCTCATAGGAATCTATGTCAGTAAATAACAGATGGTGAAGAAGCAAACCTATATTTATATTTGTCTATGTATTGAGAATAGGGAGGCAAAAAGGGAATTAATGAAAAAATTGAAGTGGCAGAAAGTAATCCAACTGCAGAAGTAAAAATCAAAAACCTGAACTTCTACTAAAGATAAATTGTATTTTGCAAATTGATATTGTTCCAGATTACGCTTTCCATTATGAGCTGAAAACTGAACAGCTACAACTAGTAAAAGAAACTAGTAAAAACTAGTAAAAGTAAAACGTCTAGGCTGAAATCCTATATTCCTTTACCAGGGAGTAAGTATCACTGAATTAATTACAACCCGTTTCTACCTGTACATTTGCAAAGTAAAGTTTGATAGAAAGAGGCTTGATACTGTTATATTTATTTAATGATACAGAGATGTTAGAGTTAGCTTATTTAATTTTGTATTTATAAAACTGATGGTAGCAATATAAAACTGGAGTGTGACAATCCTGTCATTCCAGGCCACAACTCTTCTGGCCTTCCAAAAATCTCTGAACATCCCCGATGTCCTTGAAATGCAACTCTCACTGGATATATTAATTATGGCTAATGGCAGATGGACTACAGCATATTTCCATCCCTGATGTGTCTCCGATGTGTTGATTTAAACTGGGAATACAGTGAGGAAGGGCTTCCTCTTCTATCTTATTGAAGGAATCCTATGCTATTTTAAGAAATAGATAGGAAATCCACTCTATATAAGAATAGTAGAAATGGAGAGAATGCAGCACTGTGGTCTGTAATACATCCCACCTTCCTTAAAGGAAAGTGATGTTGCAGTTCTACCATAAAAGCCAGCCACTGGTCGTTTTAACTTTAAATTACCCATTTCCTTCTCCAAATCTTTAGATGGCCTTAAAATAGATATGAAGGCTTATGTTTCTTCTTATCACCCTTGATGCAATGCCAAATATCTGACCTGCATACTATATAGACTGCTGCAATCCATTCTCTCTGTGTACAATAGCTGGGATACAGTTTCCTTGGTCCTTATAAATGAATAGTCTGAATGCCATTCTGGAGATAGGCTTATTCTCTCATGTGGCCTCCCTACTACCTCAAAGCTGCTCATCTGTTCATTCAAGAGTTTTTCCAGAACAAGATGCCCAATAATTTTATTTCTGACAATGGCATTAAATTCAGATTGTCTTTTTGCTACTATTCCATTCTTTCTGCATTAATATTCTATACACATTTAACACTTGGGCAAAGGATTTAGAAAGATGGTAGGTTAAAACTGATTACACCAGAGATATGCATTAGATTTAATACGTCCACAATGTCCATTTATTCCATATGATTGAAATTCCTCAAACAATTTGAGCTCAGGCTTAAATATTAAATGTCCATACTGGTAAGCTGGAACTAGTTGACTACAGACGATTTTTTCCTTTTACAAAACAAAGTTCTTACCAATGCAAATGTGCTATTCGAAAACTAAGAAGGGACAATAGAATTTGTAAGGGAGAATCCCAATAGCTATCACTTACCATAAAATTGTCTTCCCTCTCACAGGCAATATGAAGAGGTGTCCTCCCACCTTCCTCTGGGATAATAGTACATTCTCTGTAGTAACCTTTGGGTGGTCCCGTTTCATTATTCATTTTCATGGAAGATACTGATTCACCAATATCATACTAGAAAAGGGAATTAGACAACACAGTTGAGGAGCCATAAATGTTGTTCCCTGTCACTTCCTACGAAGATAAATTAATGGTTGGGGAGTAGGACATTCTTCCTTTAAGCCTGTTGTCCCTGGTGTTCAGCCTATCTCCACAAATGATCTCAAGTCTATGGACCAAATCCACACTCATTTGGCCTCTCTAAGACACAGTGATTAACTGTTCCTAAGATTTAATAAGCATGTGTTTATTACATTTTCCATATGCCCCATGAGCTGTATTTATGCATACATGGTTGCTTTATACTAAATCATATTAATCTCAATGCAGCAACTACTTAGTAGTGGTCTCCCACAGTAACAGTTTAAGATGTTACCCTGGTATCCTCTCTAGAAACCTCTTAATCATAGATATTCAGTCAACTCTATTAACTGTCGCTTTATAGGATCCAAGCAATGCAGAAAGTAGTCAGTGAAATTTCCTATAAAAACTACATATCTATATTTTTGTTATTTTCGCTTTAAAACTTTTAGTTATTATTCTTATTTAATACTTTAATCTTATTGTGTAAACTGCCTACAATTTCTTTGTGATTGAAGTACCACACAAGTTGATAAATAAAGTAAGAATATATATCTGAAATAGCAACACTATTTAAATATGTATCATTGTAAACCCACATTAGAATTTGTTTGTAAAAACACTATTTCATCATAAAAAGTAAATGTAAAGGTTCCTCTCACACATATGTGCTAATTGTTCGCGACTCTAGGGGCGGTGCTCATCTCCGCTTCAAAGCTGAAAAGCCAGTGCTGTCTGACGATGTCTCCGTGATCATGTGGCCGGCATGACTAAATGCCAAAGGCACACGGAACTCTGTTACCTTCCCACCAAAGGTGGTCCCTATTTTTCTACTTGCATTTTTTACCTACTTTCAAACTGCTAGGTTGGCAGAAGCTGGGACAAGTAATAGGAGCTCACCCCGTTACGCGGCACTAGGGAGTCAAATCGGTGAATTGCCGACCTTTCGATCGACTAGCTCAGCGTCTTAGCCACTGAGCCACCACGATCCTTTTTCATCATACAGCATGCCATAAAATAATTGCACTATGAATTTTATTTATCACTTTGTCATATACAAGTTGTTTGGGGGGTTTTCTTCTCACTTCTTCTATATGGTTTACAATATAGCACCTTCTCTTATGGAACCTATTGTATAGAAACTGATACTTGGACAGCAAATATGATAAAAGAATACTATTTCAAGTTGGAAAGATAATTGTATAGGTCAAATTTATAGGTGTAAGAAGCCTCTCTTCTTCTCTTCCCTCTCTCTCTCTCTCACTCACTCTCTGTTTTTGTATTGCTTTTTGTTTATTTTTTATTTCACTATTATTTTGTATGTGTTTTTCTCTTTGTTCTGATTTATTCAGTAAATAAATAAATACCTTTGTTGCAATCTTATCTAGCCGAAATATATCATTCTCATCTTCTGCCCTGACATCAGGATCTGCAGCAGCATGAAGTAGTAATTCTGTGATTAAAATCCCTTCTACACCAGGAAGGGCAGCGGCAATATGAAGAGGAGCCACACCTGCAAGCTGGGAAAACAAATGCTGCATTTATTCCCAAAGCAAAGAACAAGCAAAGAACCTGGAGCTCCAGGTGGCCCCGACCTCCGCTCCTTCCGCCGCGACCTGAAAACGTGGCTGTTTCGTTTGGCCGGCCTGGACTGATGGGGTTTTAATTCTAATTTAATTTTAACTTGTTAGTCTTAATTGTACTTTTAACTGTTAAATTATGAGATTTGGATTTAATTTTTTAACTTTTTATTAGATGTTTCTTAACTGTTGTGAGCCGCCCTGAGTCCGGCTGGAGATAGGGCGGCATATAAATCTCATTAATAAATAATACATTAATAATAAGTTACTATAACATTTCACTGTATGCACTCAGTCCATTAAATGGTCATTATGACAAAAAGGTATTCCAGCTTCCAAATGAGCATCTGATCCATATTAACTAAGTTTTAAGAACTGAAGAGAATGAAACCTTAATTGTCCAAGTCATTATTATGAGAAACTAAACATTTTCATCAAATACGATCAACCTTCTTTGTTATATGACAATTTAATACACTAAGAGTTTCTGAACCAAGCTACAAAAATGATTAATCAGTAGGAATGAAACAGGTACAGAAAACATAATAGAGCAAACATGCTTTTTTAAATTAATACAAGGCACCATAAACAATTTATGTGCAGCTTGAAGTTGATATGCTTAAAACATAAATCATTGAAATAAGTGGGTTTCAAATATTTGTCTACTTCTTTAAACAATTATGAATGTTCGATTCATAATTAAAAACTGTAGTTTTTAATTTTAATAAAAACAAAATATCCTACTTTGGTTGGAAGTCGAATGTCAGTCCTTGCTCCAGCTTCTAGAAGTATTCGCACACCTTCTGCATCAGCGGATTTAACAGCAAAGAACAGTACATGCATAGGAATGTTGGAAATATTTGGATCAGCACCTCTCCTTACAAGCAATTTAATTATAGACATTCTCCTTTTTTGTCTAAAATCCAGCAGAAAAAAGATCTATGTTAATACCTAAAAACTTAAAACATTAGTATACATTATGCTACGCAAGCAGATAAGAAGTTCTATAACCGGATATACATCCTCTGATGCCAAATACTTGGAATATGAAAACAAACAAACAAACAAATATCTTTTGCAGGCTCTCAAAATAGAATGGAATGGGAATGGGAATGGGAATGGGAATGGGAATGGGATGGGATGGGATGGGATGGGATGGGATGGGATGGGACGGGACGGGACGGGACGGGACGGGACGGGACGGGACGGGACGGGACGGGACAGGACAGGACAGGACAGGACAGGACAGAATAGAATAGAACTGAACTGAACTGAACTGAATTGAATTGAATTGAATTCTTTATTGGCCAAGTGTGATTGGACACCCAAGGAATTTGTCTTTGGTGCATATGCTCTCAGTGTACATAAAAAGACAAGATACACTCATCAAGAATCACAAGGCACAACACCCAGTCACAGTCATACAGTACAATAAGCAAACAAATCATACTAGGAAACAATCAATAGCAATATAAATTGCAATCTTACAAGCAACAAAGTTACAGTCATGCAATCACAAGAGGGAGGAGATGGGCGGCAGGAACGATGAGAAGATCAATCGTAAAGCAGCCTAGTAAAGCAGCCTAATGTGAATAGTTTGACAATGTTGAGAGAATTATTTGTTTAGCAGAGTGATGGAATTCAGGAAAAAACTGTTCTTGTATCTAGTTGTCTTGGTGTGCAGTGGTCTATAGAGTTGTTTTGAGTGTAAGAGTTGAAACAATTTATGTTCAGGATGCGAGGGGTCTGTAAGTATTTTCACAGCCCTCTTTTTGACTCATGCACTATACAGGTCCTTAATGGAAGGCAGGTTGGTAGTAATTGTTTTTTCTGCAGTTCTAATTATCCTCTGAAGTCTGCGTCTGTCTTGTTGGGTTGCAGAACCAAACCAGACAGTTATAGAGGTGCAGATGACAGACTCAATAATTCCTCTATAGAACTGTATCAGCAGCTCCTTGGGCAGTTTGAGCTTTCTGAGTTGGCGCAAAAAGAACATTCTTTGTTGTGGTTTTTTGATCATGTTTTTGATGTTAGGTGTCCATTTTAGGTCTTGAGATATAATAGAACCTAGAAATCTGAAGGTCTCTACAGTTGATACTGTGTTGTCTAGTATTGTAAGAGGTGGGAGTATGGGAGGGTTTCTCCTAAAGACTATCACCATTTCTATGGGTTTGAGTGTGTTCAGTTCCAGATTGTTCTGGTCGCTCCACGAGGCTAGTTGTTCAACCTCCCATCTGTATGTGGATTCATCATTGTCTCGAATGAGACCGATCACTGTTGTGTCATCTGCGAACTTCAGTAGTTTAACAGATGGATAGTTAGAGATGCAGTCATTGGTGTATAAAGAGAACTGGAGAGAGCCCACCTCCTTGGGCGGCCCCTGTGCTAATTGCACAGGTATCAATGTAATTTTGGGATAATTGATGGGATGCAGGCAACAAAATGATATTTTACATGGTTGTCTCTAAATAAGAGAGCCCGGCCTGCACAGAATATTATTAGCATGTTTAAGGTAAAACTGTGCTTTGTTCATGCTTGTGACATACTGGTCAAAATCGCATAACTGGAATAGTGTGCTAATCATTAGTAAGAAATATTATAGATTTTTTTGATAAAGATATTATGTGACAGCTTCAATTGACAAAATCCATACACAAAGTCCTCAACTTACAACCAATCACTCAGTGACCATTCAAAGTTATAGCAGAGATGATTCACACCCTGGTCAGTGTCTTTTCGCACTTCTACCATCGGGCAGAAGACATCAAAGCATAGCCAGCAGAACAAATAGGTTTAAAAATAATTTCTATCCTTGGGCTGTCAGACTCTTAAACACAACCACAATCACTCCACGCACACACGGAAACATGACTAGTTTTTCTTTTTCTTTCTTTTTCTACCCCTAATTACTCGCATAGGGATTATTTGTATTTTTTGTCATGGACTGCACCAGTGAGGCTAAAACCAATTTCATTGTATACATGATATACAATTACAATAAAGACTATACCATACTATAGACCCTCCAAAAGGTAGGAACACACAGGTTAATAGTAAGTCAGGGGGGTCAAACTCAAGGCCGGATATGGCCCGCAGGGTACTTAGATCTGGCCTGCGGGGCCGCCCTGGAAACAGCAAAGGACCAGCCCGCGGTGCTTCTGCCAGTGAAAATGTAGCTCGGGAACCCATTTTCGCTGGCAGAGCGCTCGGTCCACCACAGGCGTCCCCGACGTGAGTGATGTCAACCTGGCCATGCCCATCCTAGCCACACCTACCCTAGCCCCCTGAGTTCAAACACAACCCTGATGCGGTCCTCCATGAAATCGAGTTTGACACCCCTGTACTAGGTTAACACTGAACGGTGAAAATGAAAGAATCAGAATGAATTTTGGAGCGCGGCAATGGGCAATATGCTGAATGAATATATTCCAGGAGAAAATCATTCCATAAGAATATTAAATGGATGGGTGGAAGGAAGAAAAGAGAGCATGGTTTAGAACAGAGCAAAAGAACTAACTAACAGTGACATTGAGGTGTGTAGAATTATGAAAAAAATAAAAATGAAAAATAATGAAAGAGACTATGGAACAATGCTTAAAAGAGAAAGGTTGCTGCAAAAGATAAAAATAATAAAAAAGATACTGCTTAATGTTTATATTGAGAAAAAAGGTAATTGCAAAGAATAAAGTGAGATCAAGCAATGTTAAGATTTAAAAAGACATAAAATACAAAGTGATTTTTATGGAAACAAAAAACTGTTTTTGAAGTGAGCGAAGAAAGCTAAACAAACTGACACTAAATTAGAACTATTAACATAATCTGTTCAATATTTCACACCATATTCAGAGTTTGCAGTAAGAGCAAATTATAATACCATTACCAAGTAATCAAAAAGTTTTGCAGTATTGCTAGCAAGTTTTTGTAACACAGTATATTGCTTGATTTTCATATTATAAGAGTTCCCTCAACTTTAATTCATAGAAACACCTAAAAAATTAATTAACTTCTAACTATCTTCAGAAAAAGATCTAACACAGGGATTACTTGACCATGGTAATGATTCATCTATGTTCTCCTAAAGTCACTTACTCTGTTAATGATGCTGCCATTCTTATTAAGGTGCCTTCCTGATGAACAGAGTCCCCAGTGTCTGGGTAAGAGTGAGTTTCTAACATATGTTGGCTAAGAACAACTGCACCCTGATGCATAGTTTCTGGAGAAATCTTCATTTTGTAGTTGTAAACACCACAAATTGTCCCAGAGCTTTTTTCTCCATTGTCTGTTTCCTCCGATGACTTAATTCCAACATCTGGGACAAATTCTGTTTTTTCAACTGATAATGACAACTCTTCAACTGATACTGGGGAGGAAGCAATTGAACTTGCTTCAGATAATTGAGAGATCTCTGACCGTGATAATGGTAGAGATGATTTAGACATTTCTTCAAGGACGTCTTCTAACTATATAACGTAAGGAGGAGAAAGATAATCACTTGTAAAACTAACAACTATATCTTGACAGGAAGACAATATATTATTAGGATATGTTTTTAATGTTCAGATACATACATTGCATGTTGTTATGCAAAATAGTAAAGTTAGGTAACATTCTACCAAAATTTTGCAAAGATGATTTCATTATATCACCTTTTCCTCCTTGCTTCCTCCTTTCCTTCCTTCCTTGCTTCCATCCATCCATCCATCCATCCATCCATCCATCCATCCATTATGGAATTCAAATAATCTCCTGTCCACAAATACTGATCAGAGGTGGATCTGGCCAATTTGCAGCTTCATATGATTTCAGACTATGCCTATAAGTTATACCACTCACTAGATTACAGACAGCAAGGATGAAAACATCACTATCTTTTAACAATAAAACAAAGTTTGTTTTGAAAACAAAACTTCTAAAAATCAGAAACACTTTTAAAAAAAGTTTCAATAAGCACTGGCTGTACATTATATTATAAAACTAAAAGTGAGAGAAAGGACATTTATGGACCAATCCCTATAGAGGAGCTCTAACTCAAACTATTTAGGGATGTAAAACAAAGCAGTGGAGCAAATATCACAATATACTGAAATAAACATTTTAAACAAAGAATATTTGGAATTGTAGATAACTCCATTCCTATTGGATGTAGCTTAGCAACCAAATTAAACGATTATTAACAAATTTAACTTTCATTTGAGAAATGCAGTTTCACAAACACAAAGACCCCAGGCAACTTCAAAAGGAAAATCCAGCACTTTCCACTGAATTTAGCACAATAGTAACAAGTGTGGTTGGTTAATACAAATTATTGGGATATGTTTACGTCTCTTGCATACACCTCTTCATTCCATACAATCAGGACAATTCAGTCAAGTGTATCCTCTCTTTATTGAAATTGAAAAGATCTTGCTGAAATTTTTTTCAGATTTATATATTATGAAATACTAACCTCTTTTAAAAAGATATTTCTTTCAGCAATATTGGGCTGAAATCCTTCTGCAGGGAAATAGTGAATAACACACATGGATAAAGTTGATAATCCTTCATCATTGCATTTATTCACATCAGCTCCACAATCTAGAAGAAGGTTGATGATGTCTTCTTGATAATTCAACTGCACAAACAATTTCAGTTATTTTCATGAAGTTTTTTTTACACTCCAGTCTGTGCACATTTCAAGATTATGAATTTGATTTCTCCAATGAATATGTATAATGAGTTTATCACTCCCCATCTGGTGCTCCAAATATATTTGGATTACAGTTCCAATAATGTGTATATTACATGTTGGGTGGAAATACTAGTTGTAATAATCTAACCAGTTCTGTAAGGTATCAATCGGAGAAAAATTGGTCTACAGTGACTGTCCAGTGACAGTCTATTCTTTCATATTTTCAACTGCTGTTGACAATTAGCATAAATTATTTCAAATCACTCAAGCAACCCAGAACTGTAATAACTTCTGACTTTTTGCAAATAACGCCAAACATGCTGAAAGTAGTTAAGCTGGAGGAGATCTAACTACAAAGGTTCTTGAAAGTTATTGATTATTTTGATTCAGTTTAGACTAGGTTCTAGCCTGATTATATGTACATTACCAACACAGCATCTTCAGTTAATTCAGTCTTCTAGATATTTTAAAGTCATCAGGACACCCTGTTCTCACATTTTCAGATGGTGGTTACAAAGATGGCCTATCTCTTCAATGACACCTGCTCTATGGACTAATGCAAGGCCCCAGAGCTGATCTATTTGAAGCATTTTTCAAAGACTGTTGTGTTTATGTTAGTCCTTATCCTTAACACCTGATATGAAGCATCTTTCAAAGACTGTTGTGTTTATGTTAGTCTTATCCTTAACACCTGATAATAGGTTTTGTTTATAACCTGTTTTAATCCCATATCTATAGCCACTGCAAATCATTTTAGGATTAAGAACCAATGTACAAATACTATAGATTAATAAACAAACAAACAAATTTATTTAAATGGTACAATATTGTCACAATACAAAAAAAAATCCTGAATTTAGCTGCACTTCTACCCACCCTTCAAGGTTCACCATGACAGAAAGCATAACATATAGTAAGAACTTACAGCAGCAGCAGAAAGAGCAGTATATCCACTCATATCTGCTATATCAGGATGGGCCAGATTGTCCTTCAGAATTTCATGAACCCTTTTATAGTCTCCTTCTGCTGATTTCTCAATCAGTTCTTCAGCAATAAGCTCTTTGGGACCTTTAGCTCCAAAACCATACCGATTGCCTTTGATAATGGCATTAATATCCCAGTCTATGTCACTCTGGCAATGCCTGAAAGTAAGCAAAGCCAGAAAAAGCTAGAAATACAATAGAAATACAGTTTTGTTGTGACATGCTAGTTAGATAGACAGATAAGACATGGTGGGGTTTTTTTCCCGCTACTTCTCCTTATCTATCTTTGATTTAATGCTTAGTGAAATGGTAATCCTGGGTTTTACTACAGATTGAAGATATGTATGAGAAATCACAGGACCGAGTATCCCCCTTCAGTCAATATTCTATTGGCACAAAAAAAATATATTCCCTCTCCACAGGAAATTAGCTAAGAGGGGAAAAGGCTTTAATCTTGCTCTCTCTTAAGTTAATTTATTTAATATGAAGAACAATCAATCATGTCAATGATCATTTTCAATCTAAAAGGGTATATAGATAAACAAACATTAATCATCCAAGTAAAGAAAGTTTTTCACTGTTCCACTTTTTGAAAAAAAAAGGTAAGAAAATGGATGCAGGAGCACATAAGAATAAATCCTATGTACCTATGTGCGTGCACACACACACAAATATTTACACAGGATTTCTGATTATTTTCTCCAAATGACATTTTACAGTACTAGAACTAAACAATTAATCAAACTAAATGCAAATAAATTGAGGGCCAATAAGAAAGTACTTTTTAAAAACAGTACAGCTAGGAAACTTCACTGCCATAAGATCAAGTGAGGGCTACCTATTTCAACTTTAAATTTAAATGATTTTAAGAGGATCAACAGACTCATATAAAATATTAGTTATCTTTAGTTATTAATCTTCATAGTTCCTGAAGCACAGAGAGCATCAAGTGAAAGTGGCTGTAGCCCTCCCCGCCTTGTTTTGAATTTCTCAAATCCTCTTAAATTGCTACTATGTGTCACATAATGCTGGGCTAGATTGGATCTCTGTCTTTCTACCACTCTTCTTATTTCTTAAGTTTCTCTCTCTCTCTCTAACCTTCCTAATCATTAAACTTATAAGAAATAATTAAATATTAAGTTAATGATTAAGGAGCCTGGTTTAGCTCAACAGACAGAAGCACTGTAATTTAACACCAGCTGCCTGCAATTAAAGTAAGATCAAATCTTGCCAGGCTCAAGGTTGACTCAGCCTTCCATCCTTTCTAAGGTAGGTAAATTGAGGACCCAGTTTGTGGGGGCAATAAGCTGACTTTGTATAAATATACAAAAGTATGAAGACTATTGCTTAACGCACTGTAAGCCGCCCTGAGTCTCTGGAGAAGGGCGGCATATAAATCAAATTTTAAAAAAAAATGATAAATAAAAGTAATTGTGATAACTGGAATTTGGATGTAGTTAGAGAACTGGCAGAATCAATCAATCAAGATTTCAAATCAAATTATTTAAAATGTTTTAAATAATATTTTTGAATACCTGATAAATAGTACCTCCAATAGACACAAAGAAAAGGAATGAGCAAAATAATCACTTGTGCAGGCTTTTAGGGAAGAATTAAGAGGATAAGAAAGGAAGAAGGTATATTTCACCAGCAGTTGAAAGGATAGAATGAAGCATATGGTAAAATTTCAACTACATTTTCATGTCAGCAATTATCAGTTCTTACCTATACTTATATATATTTTTCTGCATCTTAACCAGAATAGGGGTTATGTTGGTTATACACCATGGTTTTTCAGAAGAGTGATGTTTTCTTTTCTTAAAATATTGAAAATCAAACTCTTTCAAGAAAGATTGAGTAAGAGGAAGATTATCTGCATCAACTGAATATATATACATATTAGCAGGCAACGTATAGTTGTCATCATTTAGGATAAGGTGTTTGAATCTGTAGAAAAATGGATCCTTTTCTTCATTCAAGTCCCATATAGAAATGCTTTCCTCTGAAATATACTGTTCTTTAGAAACAACATCAAAATAGATATTGAGTTCTGGGAAATCAAAAAGAGTAAAATGCTCAGGAACTTCTGTACATAGTTTAATAATATGGTTTCGATGCCACAGGCCAACATCTTGCCTATTATCTGGATAAGTTTCAATTCCTGGTCCAAAACGCTCATCAGCCTTGTAAAGCCCCTTTAGAGAGAAAAAAAATGTTCAAAAACAAAAGAAGATGACAGAATAATATAGACAAAATACAGAAAAGAATGCATTTTTAATTTGCTTGCTCATTTATTCAAGGAATACTAAATATTAAAAGGATTAGCAACACTATGAAAGAAATTAGTTTATAAACCCTGTAAATAAATGAACAAACTTTGCGCTACTCCTAAAAACATTCACAGCCTTGAAAAGAAACATGTTTCTCAAATATTTATTGAACTTATTCATTTCATAAACATGATAGTATAGTGTTACTATCAGAATTAATTATTTAATATTATTAAAAGTTTATGGTTACCTGAAATTGTTTTCCATCCATAAATTTCATGGTCCCATAGCCTTCTTTACGATTAAGATAAAATGAACCTGTAAATCTGGAGCCATTAGGCCAAAAGTAAACTCCTTTGCCGTGACGGTGATCTTTATAAAATTGCCCTATGTATCTCTGTAATAAAGAAGAAATAAAAATTAAATGTATTCTACTTTAAATGAATATATTCCAGTACATCTAGATAATATCTAAATATTAAGATAAGCAATACTGCAGCATCCATGGATATAGTTCATCTAACTCATATTATGTAGTATCTGAATGCATTTTTCTGCAATCACAGTATTTCAAAATACAGAAATATATTTTCATGACTAAATGATCCCATATATCAAAATTACAAAGCACTTTGGAAGAAAGTTTCAGGATGAAAAATTCTAGTTTGAACCACAGATGATTTTGACTTTATAGTTCTTTAACCTCTTTCCAGAGGATTCCAATTTTCCAGCAGCAATTCTTAAAGGTGAAAATTAAGCTATTCTGAGAATAGAATAGTTAATTTAATACCACCTTCCATTTTTCACCTTTCATTCCCACATGCCAGCTTTTCAGTTTTGTTGTGAATAAATGCCTAAATGTGTAATTCTTAATTTCTACTCTATTTTTTAAAATTTCTGGGTGGCTTTAACATCTACTCTTTTTAAATGTTTGGACGAGAGTCAAAGTTTTACCATTTTTTTAAAGTGTGGACACATTTATCAAGCATACAAAAGAGGTTGAGATGAATAAGCAATTCATATGCCAGTACTTTATTGCCTGGTTTATTCTCAATTCAGATGGTGCATGTTAAAATCCTTGCACTTTACCCACTAGGTAGCACTTACGTTTATATTAAATTATGTCACAGTAGTACCTTATGTACAAAAGAAGCTTGAGCACAAATTGAGACTTGTGCACAAAACTACTCTGAGCCATATGCATTTGTCTATTTTATTCCTGATATTGTTTTCTGATATTAATATTGTGTTTTAAAAAAATTGAAAGAGAAGCAGGTAAGAAGATCAAGCATCAGAGACATCTTTAAATAAACATAAACTAATAGTTATGTTTTCTAAACAGTAAAAGTATATTCCAATGAAAACCCTAACCTAAATGCAAACACTACAAAAGATATTTAGTATGTATAAGAAGTGGAAGAGCATTGAACTTTCAGAGAAAACCCAGGATATAAATGTGATAAATTATGTGATCTAAATTCTGTTGAGAGGTTCAACTGAACATGCATAAGGTGAACATGTATAAGATGGATGGGGCATGCATATTAGGCCTGCTTATTTTACCCTACTAAAATATTACAGTAAATTATAATTACTGAAAATACTGAAATTTAAACACATAGAAAAAGAACCCTAATAGCTAAGCTAAACCATCATTCAGGTTTAGTATCTGAAATAGACCAATCAATAAAAGAATCTTTTGTTTAAGAGGTATCCATATATATGTATGATGAATAATTATTTCAAAATATGTTACAAAGACCACCTAAAGATTCTATGCCCAATTGTTCTTATAAATAAAGATGCTCCAAACACTCATTGGAGTGTTGTGCATTCTGCCTTTCTAAAAAGGTTCTCCTGGGATTCATCTATAGGACACATAGGAAAGCAATCAATATGTACAGTGCCTAATATATGCACTGAATCCCAACCTATATTCCACACATTGATATAATTATTAAGAGAGAAATCTGCAAGTTTTCTTAAAGTTCTCAGAGAATGTTGATAAGAAATCATTGAAGGACAGTAGTAATTTACAACCGACTGCCAGTATATATCACAGCTCACAAGGGAACAAAAACAGAAATTTTAACTGATATTTTCAAAGAATTCGAAGCATCATCTGCAACCCTAGGAAATTTTTTCCACTTGGCTTCATCCATAGAAAATAACTGCAGATATACATACTGAGAATTTAATAAAAGAGAAATCCATGGAAGATAAAACTCAAGCAAAACTATAAACCCTAACCAATCCACAAATTTTATTCTTGGTAAATTTCATTAATATTGCACTTACTGCATGAATTATCACAGGAAAAAAAGAGAACTGAATATCTACTTTCAGAATGATAGATTAGATTAGATTAGATTAGATTAGATTAGATTAGATTTATTAAATTTGTATACCGCCCTTCTCCCAAAGGACTCAGGGCGGTGAACAGCCAAGATTAAAAAAAAATTTAATATAAAAATTAAAATAAATTAAAACAGAATTAGATCAGTTTGGCTTCCTCAAATTTTAAAACCCTTTACCCATAAAATAACCCATTAAAATTTTAAGCCAGCCCAGCTTGCTGAAATAAGAAGGTCTTCAAAGCTCGGCGGAAAGTACGGAGGTCGGGGATCAGTCGTATTCCTGGGGGTAGCTCGTTCCAGAGGGCGGGTGCCCCCACAGAGAAGGCTCTCCCCCTGGGAGTCGTCAGTCGACATTGCTTGACCGATGGCACCCTGAGGGAGCGCATTGGCCGGTGGGAGGTTATCGGTGGCAGAAGGTAGTCTCGTAAATACCCGGGCCCTAAGCCATGGAGTGCTTTAAAGATGAGAACCAATACCTTGAAGCGCACCCGGAAGACCACCGGGAGCCAGTGCAGCTCGCGCAGGAGAGGTGTTACATGGGAGCACCATGTCACCCCCATAATTACCCACGTGGCTGCATTCTGGACCAGCTGGAGCCTCCGGGTGCTCCTCAAGGAGAGCCCCATGTAGAGAGTATTGCAGTAGTCCAGGCGAGAGGTGACGAGGGCGTGAGTGACCGTGCATAAGGAGTCCCAATCCAGAAAAGGACGCAACTGGCGTATCAGGCGAACCTGATAAAAAGCCCCTCTGGCCACGGCCGTCATATGCTCTTCTAAAGACAGCCGTGCATCCAGGAGGATGCCCAAGTTACAAGCCCTCTCCGTGGGGGCCAATGACTCACCCCCAATAGCCAGCGATGGCACCAGCTGGCTATATCGGGACGCCGGCAGCCACAGCCACTCTGTCTTGGAGGGGTTGAGTCGGAGCCTGTTCCTCCCCATCCAGACCCGCATGGCCTCCAGGCACCGAGACATCACTTCAAGGGCATCATTGAGGTGGTCTGGGGTGGAGATGTATAGCTGAGTGTCATCAGCGTACAGATGGCATCGCACCCCAAATCCACGGATGATCTCATCCAGCGGCTTCACATAAATGTTGAACAGGAGAGGTGAGAGGACCGACCCTGGTGGCACCCCACAAACAAGGTGCCTCGAGGTCGACCTCTGCCCCCCAGCCAACACGGACTGCGACCGGTCGGAGAGATAGGATATTGGATTCTGTTCTAATAATCAGCATACAAATTAATAACATACAAATTGTATCTGAAATGAGCAAATAGGAACTATAGCTATACATTTGAGGCTATCATTAACAAATAATTTTCTATCAAACTCAAGCAATCTCCCTCAGTTTAAATATATAATGGCATTCAGACATTTATGCATCATTGTCTTCTCAATCTGATCCCCCATAAGAAAATACTCTTATAAATAATTCCTTAAAAATCTACTAATAGTTTACAGTACTTTTTTCAGGGGGTATGAAATCCAATCTATTAGCCATTGCAAGCTAATAATTCAAAAATCTGCATATAACACAAGCTAATAAGGGACAAGGAAAGTATTTGAACAGTCTGTTTGGCCTAGTAGTTAAGGTACCAGGCTAGAAAGCAGAAGATTGGGTGTTCTAGTCCTGCTTAGCCATGAAACCCAGCTTGGTGACCTTGGGCCAATCACTCACTCTCAGCCCAACTCATTTCACAGGGTTTTGGAAAACTTTACAAATTATGTGAAGAATCATAATCTGCCTAATACTATAACCAAAATCCAATTTCCAAGAATAAAATAAAAGTAAAATTAAAAATAATTATATTGTAGAAGAATTTATTATAATTAGTACATATAATATTCTAAAAGCTTTTAGAATATTCTGAAAGTTGTCATCTATTAGAAAAAGTCGGAACTTTTTTTGTCTTATGTATTTTGAGGGATATTGTGACAGATACAGTATATTTACCTCGAAGCATGCATGTTTGGGCATGAACACTAACCTTGAAGTTGTAATAGTAATAATACTTTGCATACAGTACCAAAATAAGCACATTTTAAATATTAAACCAGTTTACCTCACCATTGTCCCAGGCAAATTCTCCATATCCAAGTTTTAAATCAAATGAAAATTCGCCTCTATAGAAAGAACCATCTGGCCATTCTTGCACTCCAGATTTATACTCAAGCCTATTATTGTTCAGATCATCTTCAACTAATATATCTTGCTGTTCATTACTTTCTTCCACATAATCTTCTCTCTCTTCTTCTTCACCATACCCATAATCAACAGCAGATATCTGCTCAGTCTCAATTTCACTTTCTTCTTCTCCTGGGAATAAATTATTTGCTGAGAAGCCATCTCCTGGTTTATGTTTCTTTCCTCTGAAATCATAATCAGGAACAGTTACTATTCTTTTTCAACTAAATTCATCCAATACCACAGCTCTTCCACATATAATAGGATGTTTCGAAATGATTTGCAAGTAAATGTATGTAGCTTAGTATCCTATGTTCATCTATCAGGAAATGGGCTTAATTTAAATCAGCAAAGTTTATTTTTGAGGAGATATGCCAAAGATATTGGAACTGTACCAATTCTGCTACTAAACATAATCAAATACAAATTTGCAAAAAGAAGCAATTTGGTTGCCTCTATATTTTGCACAATTAAGAATATGGCAAAAGACACTAGCATCTTATGATAACCAAATAATATTGGACTGGATGCAGATATCATAATTATTCTAAATATTAACTTGCTCTTACCAAAAAGAATTTAACTTTGAAGATAAATCAAAATAACACATGAAGTGAAAGAGCAAAAAATAGTGACCTAAAAGCTTTGTACACTTTAAATAAAACACAGCATTTCTAAAATGGGTTGAGACTGACGTATAATAACATTTTAAAACAAATTATGGGAGTAAGTTTAGAAATACTTGCTAAATTTTTCAAGAAATATTCAACCTAGTATTTTTAAAAATATTGTTAGCTCTGGATTGATATTTTTATAATCATGCAACCATTCAAAATTGTCACCATCCTCAGAATTTTGTACGTTTGGTGTCATATATATCCACATAATTCTCCCACAGAAATACTGATGAGATACATGTTTTTTCCCGTGCTTAAAATATATTTGTTTACATATATTCATTGAGCTAAACCAGCAAACAAATCCTAAATACTACTTCACTTAGCTGTTATATTGAAGTCTCAGTAATTTAGTGCACAATATACCATTTCTCCTTCCCACAATACAATTAGTTCCTTGAGAATCCTAACTCTGAAAAGATGAACTCTGCAAGTCAGAAATTGAATGGAATTGTCAAATTTCATACTCTAGGTTCTGGCTTAAAGTATAAATGAGCAATGCAACATATAATCTCAGGTCTGTATAAAGTACATCTTTAGTACACTTGTGTTGCTTTCCCCAACACAAAGACTTCCAACAGGACTATTATTCTGTTATATCAGACGGTCAAGGTGGCTGATAGGAACTGTACATTAATCCAAGACAAATGAATTGCACCAGGGTGAAAAAAACTGGGCAAGCAAGTTATGACATCCTTCCTGACCAAGGGTGGGTTTGTCCTTCTAAGGATTTGCATAGAATCACTCTTCCTCATTCAAGCGGTTGCAAAGGGGTTCCAACTAGTGTCAGAAATTATTTTGTATTTTCTCAAAGGTCATCTCTTACCCTTACTGGAGAGGAAAAATTACCAAGAAGAAAAATATAGAATTGTAATGCCTTTTGATTAATGACACTTTAAAAATCTCTGGATGTGAGTATTTTGTACTCACACCCAGACAGAGGCTTTTAATACCCCTATATACTTCTTATATCTAGTCCCATTGTTCTGTATTAAAAGCAGATCATAAACACAATAATAACATGAACTCATAAGGGCACTTGTTTGCACTTTACAGTCGCATCCATAGCAAATAACGTTGATATCCAAATTTGCTTTTTCAAGAGGCAACTGGACTTTCCGGTTTTTCTTTGAATACATTTCACTTCTCATTCAAGAAGCTTATTCAGCTCTGTCTGGATGAAAGGGAATGGAAGGATTTACATTCTTTGCAATCATTCTCCACCATCCAGTCAGAGCTGAAGAAGCTTCTGGGATGAGAAGTGAAACTTCTTCAAAGAAAAACCAGAAAGTCGAGTCGCCTCTTGAAAAAGCATCTTTGGGACAACCATGGGTTGACTGCAAATCTCCATACACCGTTGATATCCTAAGCAACATATTTATTTTTACAGAACCTGCTAGCCGTACAAAACCTTTTGTACGTGCAAAAAAAAAAAAAAAATGAGCGCGAAGGTGGTAGTAAACTTTCGTCTACTGATACGAAGACACCGCATTTCCTTCCATTTCACACGTGAACGCCACGCGGCTCCGTGGTCCGCCTATTCCGCCTTCGCAGCCTCTGGCCAGGCCTCTTTCCCGATTCACGTGGCTGTGCACGCTTCCGCCAGAGGTCCGTTGAGACTAGGAATCTGGTTCGCACGGACTGGGAAGACCCAACAGAGCCTCTCGGAGAGCGGCACCCACCGAAGAACCGGAGCGGCAGCCTGAACAGCCTCCATTCGATCTCAAGGTCGGGGAAGGCTCCGCCGGACGTGCAGAGGCCGCCTCATAAGGGCCGGAGAGGAGACCAGAGACGTAACAGTCAGTGAGGAGGACGTGCTCAAAGCGCTGCTCCTGTCGTCCCTTCAGTAGGAAACCGGCGCAGGTAGCGGAGAAAAGACGGCCAGGTCTCACTCCAGGCAGCTCTGGATACCCGTCTCCTCCCTGGCTTGCACTGCATCTGAGTTTCCATAGAGATCAAGGCGGGGTTTCGTGGAGCGCGAAATGGCTCCACCTCGAAGTGATTTCTTTTTAAAAAAAAACTGGCGGTTCTCGTTGGGAAAAAATGCTCCGTTGTAAACAGCCTTACAATTGGTTTTCTCAGTGATCACATAAAATTCGGCGGGTATATTGATCTAGAATAGATTATATTCCGGGAATATTTTTAAATCTTAGCACTTCCTTGTTGTTCAAAGTAAGGATGAGTTCGTGTTTTGTTGTTTAACTAATTCACCAGTTATGCCCCAGTGTAGAAGAAAAGGTTCTCATACGGGACTTAGTACCATCTCATCTTGTCTAATGCAGCTGTCCCTACAGAACTGTCACAGAAGGCAGTTCAAATTTGTCTAGAAATATAGGAGGTTAAAATATTGTGGGAATTCTAAATGCAAACTTGATAAAGTCTTGGCTCATAACACACAAGATTTAATTGTGATGGAAAAGATAATAATGTGGATAATTGAGGTGGCCATAGTAGGAGATAATAGAATAGAAGATAAAGAATTGAAGAAGTTCTCAAAGTATTAATTTGTGAAAATCAAAATTGAGATTATGGCATAAATCGATCATGGGTGACTTGCACAGTATTTCCATCTGCCATACTGCTTGGATCCAGATAGATAGTACAACATCCCATCATGGGAAGAACTTGATGCCTACCAAAACCAGTTAAGAACTAGAAGCTGTGATTTCAGACTTTTGTGAGGAGGAGGAGGAGGAGGAGGAGGAGGAGGAGGAGAAGAGACGGCAACAGACAGCAAATGCCACCTTCCAAATTAGCTAAAGAAATAGTGAGCTATCTAGCTAATGCTGCAAGAAAATTGCAGATTAATTGCAAACAACACATGAAAAAGTAGCAAAAAATGTGCATTGGAGTATCTACAAGAAATACCATTTACCTGCAAGCAAGAACTTGTAGGGCCACAAAATAGACAAAGTAATAAAAAATAAAGAAGCTAAAATGCTCTAGAACTTTAAAATTCAAACAATTGTCAATAAGAAAAGCCAAAAAAAAGTCTAGATAGTGGATGTGGAGGCAGCAGAATAGAAAAAAAAGAACTGGAGAAAATCACAAATGCAAAGACTGGCAAATAAAAATAGAAAGACTGGCAAACGAAAGCAAAGGTAGTACCAATAGTAGTAGACATTTCCGGTGCAATCTGGAAACTGGAACACCACTTGAATGCCATTAGCAGCTTTAGCAGAAACACAAACTTTAACACCATCAAACAATAACATCTGCCTATCAGCTTCCTGGGAAGACTGGATAAAAGTGCCCTTCTAAACATCTGGTTGGCTGGAAAACAAACTGGAGAAAGAAAAGCATGACTTGAATGATACTTTAAGAAAAGCCAAGAAGCCTTGCTGAAGGAAGTTGATTAAGGAAAACTCTTGAAAACAATAAAGGCTGAATATTGGGAGGGGGGTGTTAAAAAAACAATTTGTTAATTGGAAGTACAAGTCAATGCATGGTTAGTATTTGAAGGAAGGAAAAGCTGATAAAAAACGCAAATGAAGTTGGTTAAGTTCAGGAGCGTTAAAGAAACTGAAGGGTTTATTTTAATGGCTCAAGATGAAACTACCAACTAATTGCAGGAAGGCAAAAATTCAACATGTAACAAACAGAAAATGTTGTCTTTATAGTGAAACAGACGAAACAGTTGATCATTTATTAATGACTGAAACAAAATTTCACAAACTGAAATTAATGACCAAGTTTCCAGAATTATTCATTGGAAACTCCCAGAGGTAAATCAGAACAAGGAGCTCTTTCAGATAGTTCCTTAAACCCCAGTTATCTCACAGTTGGATTACTGCAATACACTATATTGGGGTTTGCCTTTGAAAGATGCAGCAGGTCCAGAATGCAAGAGCACACTAATGATGGGATTACCCCATTATGCACACATGACCCCACTACACCAAGAGCTGGACTAGTTGGCAGTTGGCTACATGGTACAATTTAAGGTGCTGGTTCTTCTTTAGGGTCTCTGATGGACTGCTTGTCTCCCGTTGTTTCTATCCATCTGGTAATGTCCAGCAGGGTGGGTGTACTCTGGGTCCTGTCAATTAATGTAATGTGGGAACAGGAAGCATGCCTACCCTTAAAGCTCCTATTCTCTGGAATGATCTCCTTCCACAGCAGAGTTTTGTGTTAGGAAATCATTGAAGATCTTCCAGGTCCATGGGAACACAATAAACGAGACTCATTTTTTGTTTTGTTTTGTTTTGTTTTGGTGTCACTCTAGGTTTATTGTTTATGTGCTGCTCCTCTGTTTAGTTGTGCCATTTATAGTATTGTTCTTTTTAAATTGTAAGTTCCACAGAATGGCTTTGGAATTTGATAAATACACTTTGATAAATAAATCAAGGTCACCATTCCTTTCTATTCTGCTTTGGTCTGTCCATGGCTAAAATACTACATACATTTCTGTCTTCAAATTTTTAGAAAAGATGTTCACAAACTGGAGCATGTTCAGAAGAAATCTGGTGAATAAAAAGGGGCTCCAAAGAGAACATATATACAGAAAAGGGATATATTAGGCTGAAAATCAGAAGACTGTGGACAGATTGTCTTGAGTATCTGAAGAGTTCTCATGTAGAAGATGGATCAGAATTGATGCAGTAGAATATTATTATTGCTATTAGGGGATGTTTTCATGGGGGATCCTGCACTGGGCAACAAGTTTAACTAGATGATTTTCAAGGTATTTTCCAATCACTACCTTTTATTATATCAGTATGACGATGGAAGACATAAATAAAAATTGTATAATGACTTTGAGCAACTATGAACCCACCTGTTGAGTGTAGGCTAGAAGTGTCAGTGCATCTTGCTTTTCTGTGTATATATGTTTGAGAGAAAGAGAAAACATAAAATTCTACAGAGCCTATGACTTCAATAATGGATCTGGAATTTTTGATGTTTTGTTTCAACAGTTTGTTGCTATGGTCTCAGAGAAGTCTTAATCCTCGCAGTGTGTTGGACTCCAACTGCTTAACCACTAGCCCCCATGTATTCTTCTATAGTCAGTTGGGCTAGGAAATGTATGAAGGCTGTGGGAAAATGAGATTTTAAGTGGATTCTGAGATTCTGAGAACTTTAAACAGCATTTGTGGATAATTCTTGATACATTTATATACACTGCTCAAACAAATAAAGGAACACAAGCAGAAGACATCCGAGATCAGAATGAATGAAATAGCCTTATTAAATACTTTGTTCGTTACATACAGTAGTTTTGTGTCCCTTTAGTTGTTTGAGCAGTGTATGTAAAGAATAAAACTGAGCCATAAACTGGGAAAAATTAATTACTGTACAATACCAAAATCAGATAACAAGTTTTCATATAGAATTGTATTACATTATTAGTTTTCTCACATATATTTATTTATTTATTTATTTATTTATTTATTTATTTATTATATTTCTATATCGCCTTTCTCCCGTAGGACTCAAGGCAGTGTACAGTCAAGAAAAATATAGACACACAAACATCATAAAATTGCTAATTAAAATTATTACTTAGTTTGGTCAATTAAATAAAACCCAGAATTAGATAACATTTAAAAAATCATTCACATGTTCGTATGTTTAGCCCCGCCTGTTGGAACATCAGGGTCTGATGCATGGCGGAAAGCACGGAGATCAGGGATATTCCGTATATCCGGGGGCAGTTCATTCCAAAGGGTTGGAGCCCCCACAGAGAAAGCCCTCCCCCTGGGAGTCGCCAGTCGACATAATTTGACTGACGGTACCCTGAGTAGTCCCCCCCTGTGAGAACGAACCGGTCGGTGGGAGGCTATTGGTGGCAAAAGACGGTCTCGTAGGTACCCAGGTCCTAAGCCATGGAGCGCTTTAAAGGTGATAACTAACACCTTGAATTGCACCCGGAAGACCACCGGGAGCCAGTGCAGCTCGCGTAGGAGAGGTGTTACATGGGCGTAACGAGCTGCGCCCATAATCATAATATATGAATTAACACACACATAATAGAATTAAAAATAACAATGACTAAATGGCAGCGCCATAAACATATATAACTTTAGGTACAATCATACAAAAAGATATGCTATGATTTTATTACTTCATAAATTCTTCCTATGCAGAAAGAATACAGATACATTATATGACTGTAATTAACATTATATAGGATCTAACATTGCTTTGTAAGTGTATGTTCTTCACAAAAGATCACATTCTACAATGCAGATGGCAGCTGTTTTGGCTCCAAGGGCTGCATGGGAAAAAGGGGTTAGCTCTAGATTAACATCCAGGTTTTCACAGATGTATGCAAGTGTAAGAACAGAACAGAACAGAATAGTTGGATGGGACCTGGGAGGTCTTCTAGTCCAACCCCCCGCTCAGGCAGGAAATCCTATACCATTTCAGCCAAATGGTTGTCCAATCTCTTCTTTAAAACGTCCAGTGTTGCAGCATGCACAACTTCTGGAGGCACGTTGTTCCACTGATGAACTTCTAATTGTCAGGGAATTTCTCCTTAGTTCTAGGTTGCTTCTCCCCTTGATTAGTTTCCATCCATTGCTTCTTGTCCTGCCTTCTGGTGCTTTGGAGAATAGATTGACTCCCTCTTCTTTGTGGCAGCCCCTTAGATATTGTGTGCAGTTTTTAATTCATAGATGTACTACCAATCATTATCAGTAGGGGGGGGCAGTGAGCAAAGAACTGCTGAAATTCCTACTAAAGCAATAGATGACAAGAAGTTCTTATGCTATGTTTTTCATCAGGCTTTCAGCCTTTAGAAATCTACAACAATAACATACTGCGCTGTCCACATATTCTTCAGCTCTGAAAAAGCTATTAAAAATACTTAGCTTCTTTTTTAGATTGTTTTTTTCCTGTATTAATTCTGAATATTGGAATTTCCTAAAGAGATTCAGAATATCTTAATATTTTCTTCTAATATAGTAGCATACTATTTAAAGAGTATACTATCTCATTCTGTCATGGTGAATGGAGAACAGAATGAAGACTGTGGGAGCCCTGTACAAAAATGATATTAATTTTAAGTTACAGTAATTAGATTAATATGATTACTCTGCATGTATGTAATTATTATTACTGTCACATTCACAATTACTATTTGGTAGCAACTTTTGGAAGAACTCTGGTGATTCTTTCTAAACTTTGAAAGGCACCAGATTGTGAACCTCTGTTAAACAGTATATCAAGACCACTGTTTATATTTTACTTACTGTATAAAAGACAGTAGTTACAAATTGGACCATCATTCTTAGTAATGAAATTGAATTCAACAAGTGCTACTTTTATATACTGAAGAGTGACATGCTATATGTGCTTTATTTTATTGAGCAAGAAACTCCAAAAATATCAGAATTGAAGCTTGATCACAAGAAATAAGCTAAATATAAAGCATGTTCAAAAATTCATCCAGGCAGGAAAGACAAGAATTTTCAACTCTCGTTATGGACCATTTTCTTAATCTTTGATAAGGTGCTTGACATAGCAGAGATCCGTTGTGTGTCTTTAATCTGATACGCCTGAAACTGGAAAAAAAAAGTATCAAACTATATCAAATAACACATCCATTATTGTAGAACTGGCTTTTAAGGAAATGTTCAGATCCAATAGCTGCCATGGTAAGGAGACTGACAGGTTAAGGAAAGCAGTATTGCCATGTGTCACAGGCACATCCTAAAAGGGCAAATGTTAATATGAAATATAACACCATGACACTACTATTCTCATTCTATTCTCATTCTCACAAGAAGAGCAAAATCCCCTGAACACTGCTGCGTCAGATATTCTATAGGAATATCTAGGATGGGTTCCATTTCCATTTCCACACTTATTCATTGGAATGGTTAATTTGTCAGTAATTGTTTCCCACAATGGTTGGCAGGCATGTTGGTATTATGGACAAGATTTACCAAAAAAAAAAAAAAAAAAAACCCTGCTAAATGCATCCATAATTAATGGTTTTGTAGCTCCTCTTTCTCAAACTACCTCACTGTTTCTTACATACATACAAAAGAACCTTACTGGAGTTGCACAGCTTACCACTGTGACAGAATACTGCATATTACACACCTCTCCCTGAGATTGGTATTCTAGATTCTAACTTCTATTGGGATGATGCTCCCTAATGTTTCTGTTCCCACACCCACGTTGGTTTATATTTGTCCTCAGTCTTATTAGGCACTACTGTATTGTCATATCAAACACTGCTGTATGTTTTGCCTGAACTGTTTTATTTTCTTTTGAGCAGACCTTGGGCTTTGACTATTTATTTAACAGAGAGAAATGTGCCCTCAACTGAGTCAGTGGTGGCTGCCTGTAGATCTTTAATAACCTTTTAGTAGCAATGTCCAATAGCATATAATCTATACCCTAATCTATATAATAATGCTTGATATATAAAATATTGCTGATTTCTCTGTGGGAAATGCTGTTTTTCTTTCTTTAAACAATCTACTTTTCTGCTGCAAGGTTTGTTTCTTTTTCTTTAGTAAATTTACCAGGTCATAGTTAAAAGGCTAAAACAGTACAGCAGTTGACTTAAAAACAATGTAGTAATAATCCAAGGAAAGAAAAGTAGTATTTTTTTTATTAACTTGGCATATTTATGCCAAAGAACAGGGGAAAAAAACCCTTAGGGCTAGATACAAGCCCAATGAAAAACAGGCAGCACCCTTAAGAACAATAGGTCCAGAACAAAGGAATTAAACCAAATTAAAACGCAACTGGGAAATATTTAACAAAATAAAATAAAAACACAATAAAATAAATAACATTATATTTTAAAATGAAATAATCACAAATTTAATTACAACACTCCGGGTTTGTGACTTGCAAGGACCGCCATACAAGTTTGCCGTCTCCATTTAACTGCAGCAGCAAGGATTGCTTGGTGCTGCTATAGTACAGAATGAGCAGGACCATCATGTGACAGGTATTCTCTCTCAGTCTACGCTGCAGCAGCAACAAGCGACTTTACTGTCAAGGTTAAATTGAGGCAGTGAGATTATGCCTTTCCCCCGTGACTAGTGGCAGGAAGGCAGGCAGGCAGTCTTACACTGGTAGCCGACCTGTTCCAGATCTCTTGCGCACAAAGGAGTGCTTCCATCCAAAACAGGTTGAATTAATTTCTTTCTACCTTTCAAAAAAGGCTGTTTCCCATCTCCCTCTGAAAGAGGCTAATTCCTCCCTCCCAAACAGGTTGAATCTATAAACTACCCAAAGTCATTTAGATAGTGAGACAGGCGGTGTCTAAATTGATAAATAAATAAACATGAATGTCTCTTCGGAAATTATCTCTAACTCTCACTTGTAAACACAAGTGTATTGTTGCTTTTGATTAAAGTTTTATCACAGGAGATTTAAACTCAGCAGAGGCCCTTATTGGAGAATATAATCGAGGCGAGTGCTGAAATAATACGGAGTAATTAAGCTGTAGAATGCCCCATTAAAAAGAAAAATGTCCATATATTTATAGGATGCAAAGTAAGGACTTAGCTCAGCCATCAGTGAATGCTAACAAACATGCATTGTATTTGTAGTAAAAATTACATATATGAAGCTGGAAAGGCTTCTCTTCTATTTAAATTTCACTTATATCTAAACATCTTGAAGAAATGTAAGCAGAACATTCATATAGGTAAAGGTAATTAAATGGTTACATGTAAAAGTACATTAATAAATATTTGAATGATTATACTAGGGAATCCATGGGAAAGTCGCAAGATCTTACAGACAGGCCTGGAAAAAGATCAAATTATAAATTTTAAACCTTATATTTATAACTAATTACCTTGCTGAGCAGCATATCAAAAAAGGCAGTATCCCAGTAGTCTCTGTTTTCAGCAGGGAGCTGAAGTAAAGCTTTGAGACCATTATCCTTCTGACAGAATTTCTTGCCTTCTCTTTGGGCAAAATGAAACTTTAGGAAATACTTAGGACTTATGGCAAAGCTTTCCACTTTGGGATACAAAGCAGTTAGGTCCGGACTATCATTCTTGAACAGATTTTGCTCTGGATATAAAAAATGGGGAAGATCTTTGGTCACCAAGCAGCAGAGTAAGATCACCAGGAGACGATAAACTGATCCTTCCAGACTCAGCCAGTCTTCAGAGGAAGGAAAAAAATGAGTAGCCCACAGCAATATCATCTAGGAGGAAGTAAGAATAATTACTAAAGGCAGTGCAAAAAAGCCTTTCAAATATACGTAAAACCAAACATATTATTATTGTTAAAAGTTGGAAAAAATAAACTTTTCCCCAACTTTGGGGACACCAAAGGTAGCTTCCTTCTACAGGTAGTCCTTGACTTAACAACCACAATTGAGCCCAACATTTCTGATGTTAAGTGAAACATTTGTTAAGTGAGTTTTGCCCACTTAACTTAATTTTAAGACCTTTCTTGCCTCAGTTGTTAAGTGAATTACTACACTTGATAAGTTGGTAACCCAGTTTTTAAGTGAATCTGTCTTTCCCCATTGACTTTGCTTGTTAAAAGGTTGCAAAAGGTGATCACATGACCCTGGAACACTGGAACCATCATAAATATGACTCAGTTGCCAAGCATCTAAATTTTGATCACGTGTCCATGGAGATGCTACAAAGGTCGTAACTATGAAAAATGGTCATAAATCACTTTTTTCCATTGTACCATTGTAACTTTGAACAGTCACTAAACAAACTGTTGTAAGTTGAGGACTACCTGTAGTCTTGAAACCTTTGGTCCTTATTAAATCATTTAAAATATAGCTGAATAGATCTTTTGAGCTTAATACATTTTGATAACAATAGATGGATCACCGACTTTTTGAGCCTGTCATATCTACTTTTCTTGGTGAGATACATGGGAAGTTCCATGAGAGGGCATATTGACGTAGGGTTAGATCTCCATTAATTCAGAGAGCAAAATGGACATTGCCAACAGATTTGTAGTGGATCAGTACATTTAGAAAGACGCTGACTTTTTGATCCCACCTTACCTATATTTCCTGGTTAAAATACATGGGAAAATCGTATTGTGGGGCAGTTTCACTTAGGATTAATGAATTCAGACAACAAAATAGACATTGCCAATGGGTTTGTAGCATGTCGTATGCATAGGAGGGTGCTGACTTTTCGAGCTTCCTTATCTACATTTCCTGGTAAAATACATGAGAAAATACCTTTGGAGACAAATTCACTTAGGATTAGAATTAGGTCTCCATGAATTCAGAGTAAAGTGGACATCGCCAACAGATTTGTAGTACATCAATATGCTTAGGAGGGTGCTGATATTTTGAGCCCATCTTATCTGTTTCCTGGTATAATACATGGTAAAATTACACTGGAGAGCAAATTCAGAGAGCAAAATGGGCATCGGCATCAGATTCATAGCGTGTTGGTACACTTATGAAGGCACTGACTTTTTGAGCCTGCTTAATCTACATTTCCCAATAAAATACATGTGCCATGCAGCAAAGATTTTGTTTGAGCTACTAGATGTTGTTTTGGGGGTGTAGTAGAGTTCCCTGGGTTAATGGTGTAGGGCACAGTGCATTGAAGTATGTTGTTTCTTCGACGTTTCCTAAGCTTTTAAAGTTGCAATTGAAAAGAAAATGCAGGTACTGGAAGCTTTAAAAAGCCATTCACAAAGTTAAGGCACGATAAGCTTAATAAACTATTGTTCAATTAATAACAGAATTCATAAACAAAGCTGAACAAGAACAAACCATAAATCTTACTTCAGTTCATTCTAAAATTGGCCTCATTTCTCGAATGAACATATAGCTAGCTAAAATCAAAAGGTGTAATAGTTAAGCTACATTGCTTGTGAGCTGTATGGCACACACCCAGATTTTTGTAAAACACGTTCTACTACTCCATCTTTTCTGCAGTGGTAAGGAATGGATCACATCCAAAACATGAAATTCTAATTTAGCATTTGATATTCTGCTAAGTTTGTAAAAACTCTAGCCCTACATTGAAAGAAAATGTTCAGAACATTTCAGAGTTGCTCCCATTTAACAGATTTGCAATCATGTTTAATTTAACAATATTCAGCAACTTGTGTAAGCCATATTTAATCTTTGTTCAATTGCTATATGAAGCACAGGGAGATAAGTGAGATTCACTAGTCCTGATCTCCAGTACTCTATGATGTTCCATAGTGGACCCTTTGCCAATCAAACATTAGAGAAGATACCTACAAAGAGAAGCGTTCCTATTTTCTGCCTATACTAAACTACTTTCCTTACCTCCTCCTCATAAAGGTTTCCCTTAATTCAGAAAATTAAAGCCCAATCTATCAGGAGCCTTCAGGAATGGGGGAAGGGGGGAGAGGCATTTGATCATTCTCAGTTATTATCTTTTCTGTGTTAGACTATTAAAAGCTATACATCTGAACCAAAATTAAGTTTTGCACTCCTGGAAAAAAATTCCACCAACCTTCAAATGTTGAAATGTGAGCCCCTTTTCTTCCCCTTTCTCTCTCCAATATTCATGGTTGATTTGGTCAAGAAGGCAGAGACTGTCCAGGCGATATCCTTTTAGGGTGCTTACAATTTGAACAAGTTTCGAGATGGGACGATTGGTGGAGTACCTAACAAGAAAAATATGCAGCTAGAAGTTAACACTTTATTTCAGATTTTAGTCTGCTTCACTGTAGGATTCATTTATCCCCAATTCATATTAGTATCCATGCTGAGAATTACTAGAGAAGTCAACATGCATATTAGTATTTCAAACTAATTTCTTGAGAATATGGCTACATAAAACAAGGTGACTCTCCACTTCCTAACACTTCAACTAGCAAAGGTAATGAAATATTAAGAATTACATTATTATTATTATTATTATTATTATTATTATTATTATTATTATTATTGAATATCCAGAGAGTTAAGGAATTCCTAGTTCTGTTTTAAGAGACCTAGGGACTGTGGAGACAATTGACAGCTTTTGTGATTCTAAAGGAGGATACATTGTTTCTAAGCTGAAATAAATGGCAAAGATCAGTTCACAAAAATCAGTTCCTTCCACAGTTCCCACATTCTAAACTATACAGATTTCTCTGCAAACAACATTAAAATATTCTTATATATTTTTGGCAATCAAAATATAATATAATTATATGTTTCCTTCTAGGGAAGAAAGTGTATATGTATATGTGTATATGTATCTAGAGCAGTGATGGGTTTCAATGTTTTTTACTACCAGTTCTGTGGGCTTGGCTTGGTGGGTGTGGCATGGCTTGGTGGGTGTGGCTTGATGGGCATAGCTGGGGAAGGATACTGTAAAATCTCCATTCCCACCACAATCCAGGGGAAGGTTACTGCAAAATTCCCATTTCCTCCCAATCAGCTGGAACTTGGGAGGCAGAGAATAGATGAGGGTGGGGCCGGTCAGAATTTTTACTACCGGTTCTCCAAACTACTCAAAATTTCCGCTATCGGTTCTCTAGAACTGGTCAGAACCTGCTGAAACCCACCTCTGATCTAGAGTCCAAAATGTTTCTGTTTCATAATGCATTGGTTTATGCTCTCAGATTTGATGGTAACTATTTGCACTAACAGAGGAATAGAATTCCATGTACTATGAAACATATAGGCATGTCAAGGGTGGGTAGTCAGGTTCAGTAACATTTCCCTGTCACATACCAGTGCTATCATATTATGTGCTATTATATGATATTTTTATTGCAAGTATGTAGCTATTTCAGTCACTCACTCATTTGCAGATATGTTACAAGTAAAATCAGCCCATAGGTAATATTAGCATATCTCTAGCCTTCCTCGTTTTGTTATTATGCTCTTGATAATTGTGTGCAAGCAAGACTTCCCCACCTATTGTGCACTACACATCAGTTCTGGCCAGATCAAATAGGTGTTCTGCTTTGCTTCTGAGGATTCCTTGTTTATATACCAAAGAGGGATAATTATTTTGTAAAATAAAACATATTGATTACTATATGTCATAGAAAGGTTGAGAGAAAAAAATAATTCATACCAATATTAAATGTAGCTGCCTTGTGCTAATGACCTTGACCTATTTGCAAAGAGTGGTCATAAATAATCCCAATATAAAAGTAGTCAAATGTTAAATTCATTTTTATTATGGTTAGAATATGGACCAGAATGGCAACTCTCTGATAGAATAGTATATTAGATTACCCCTAAAATCTAAACAATTGCCAATCATAAGTCCACACTTGGAATACTGCATCCAGTTTTGGTTGCCACACTATAAAAAAAGATGTTGAGATTCTATAGAGTGCAAAGAGTAATAAAGATGATTATGGACTAAACATATAAAGAATGGTTGTTAGAAATGAGTAGGTCTAGTTTGATGAAAAGAAGGACTAGGGGTAACATGATAGCAGTATCAAGGACTGCCACAAAGAAGAGAAAATCAAGCTATTCTCCAGAGCACCTGAGGGCAGGACAAGAAGCAATGGATGGAAACTAATCAAGGAGAGAAGCAACTTAGAACTAAGGAGAAATTTCCTAACAGTTAGAACAATTAACCAGTGGAACAACTTGCCTCCAGAAGTTGTAAATGCTCCAACACTGGAAGTTTTAAGAAGAGATTGGATAACCATTTGTCTGAAATGGTATAGGGTTTCCTGCTTAAGCAGAGGTTGGACTAGAAGACCTCCAAGGTCCCTTCTAACCTATTCTATTCTATTCTATTCCATTCCATTCCATTCATATACCAAAGCCAATTGTATATAGAAAATAAGTAAGTCCCTGTAGAAAAAGCAGTGCAGTTTGTTACTGATGCATCAGTATCTTATCTTCCTATCCAGGAGGACCTTTTCCCAGCTTCACCTGGTATGTCAGCTGGTGGCTTTCTCAGACTGGGATGCTGTTGCAACAGCAACTCAGTTTCCCATCACTTCATATTTAGACTACTATAACATTTTACAAGGTGGTTCCTTTGTAGACAACTTGGAAGCTGCAGTTGATTCGTATTAACTATAGTCCAACTGCTGATGGCAAGATATTAGAGTTATATTACTGTACCTATGTTGAGTTAACTGCACTGGTTAGTAATACACACAGGGACCAACATGTTAGTATTGATATTTAAAGCCATATATGGCTTTGAACCTATGAATTTGCAGAATTGTATTTTGGCCAAAATGAGTTTGTTCTCTGTGTTCATATTGGGAAGTACTGCTTTATGTCCCACTCTTTCAGTAAGTTGGAATCCAAATGCCTGTCTTTCTGGATGTAGCAGCTTCACATTAATAAAAATCTCAATCCAGTGAGATTTTAGAGGAAACAATGGATCTGTGCTGCATTTGAAATTTTGTTATATATATTTGATGTTTTCTATTTATTGTGTAAATGCCTAAGATCACGAATTAGGGTATTACAGGTAGTCCTCTCCTAATGATGATAAGTGGGACCAGTATTTTTGTCACTAAACAACACAGTTTTACGACATCACATGATTGTGATGCTTGGTGATGGAAATTCTAGCATTTCCTGTTGCTGTTGTTAAGCAGATCCCACAATATTGTTAAGCGCAACTTCATGCGGTCGCTATTTGTGACCTCCTGCTAGCTTACCCATTGATTTTGTTTATCAGAAGCCAGCAAAAAAGAGTCACAAATGATAATCATGTGATCATGGAGAGACTGCAACCTTCATAAGTACAATGTCTGGTTATTAGTACCACTCATTCATAATACCACCATACGTTTAAATGGTTGCTCAGTGAGTGGACATTAAGCAAGGGCCACCTGTTCAGGCATGTGGGAATAAATAAAAATTTTGGTCTGTTTTTAGTACTCAGAAGCCCATGTGTGTACCTAAAACTATTTTGAAATGCTCTGTCCTTGGAATAAATACATAGATCTGATTGCCAAGGCATTTATTTATTTTTAAATTCATAGGTATGGAATGTCATGAAGCAAGCAAGACACACAAAGTGGAGAAACTGTGCGATTTAAGCTTCCATTTTGGGACTGATCAAATTACCAGGGAATTTGGAGCTCGGATGGCAATAAGAATGAGTCCCACAGAACCATCAGAATCTTCTGCACCTCTGCACAAGTGTTTATAATCCCTGCATGCCTTTGTGAAGAACACAGCAATTACTGACAGCACCAGATTATATGTAATCTATTCCGGATGCCAACCTCTAATTTCTACCTATAGAGATTTTATGAGTAGATATAATAATAAATACAGTATCATGCCTAAGCAAGTTGCTTAAGAAAACCACAGCAATATTATGTTTGACAGCTTTAAACTATAAACATCAAACAAAGTTTTGGATAGCCCAACAACTCTCTGACATTGTATTGTTTGTTCCTTATATCAACTGAAAAGTGCACAGGTGAGAAAGTTTGGTGACCAGCAACGATACCCAATATTCTTGGTGGGTATGAAGGAGCACCTCAGAGATATAAATGGGACAAGATGTTAACTTTTCCTCTGAATTTTGAAAGTTTTAAAATAATTTATTTTAAATTTATAGATGTTATAGGATGCGTTTCCCATCTCAAAATGATAGATTTCCCTTCCTTTGATTTTTGACAATTTTATTATCAGAGGGCTCCAAGGGGCTAGAAAGCACAGGTCTGGAGAGACATGTAACCTTGAAACCTCATTACTCTAGGACAGTATCATAGAATTTTGGACAGAATGTTCTATTCCAAACTCTATTCTAAGATAATTTACTCTACATCTAAGCAACTCTGATATACTGTATGTAACTAATATTTTATCTCTTCATTAGGGGATACTTACAGTCCTTTATAATATGTACCCAGAAGGAACAGACATTTCCTTATGGGTAAAGAAGCCTTGTATTTTATAAAGCTAATTTTCCCATGTAAATTTTTGATATGTAAGTCTATGCTGCTGGGAATTCTGTTTGCAAGGGAAGGCTACCTAGCCTGTATATTTTTCTCAGAAATCTTCAGGTTCACAAAAAGAAGACAGGATAGTGCATTCATACTTGCGTTTAAAAAGAAGCACTTCATGAACTTGGTATAAAAATATGATAATATATTGGTAGGTATGAATTGGAAACCAGAAGCCATACATATCATTTATCTTTTTCCTTCCTTTATACTAAACCATAGAAATCTTAGAAGTGCATCTGGGATGAGGCTTTTATGTTAAAAGACGGGCCTTTTCCCATAAGGCAGCTTTCACAACAGCATCAGTTTTACCTCCAGTGATGGTAACTGGCAGGAATGAAAACAGCTTCTTGAGTGACTTTGCTCAGACTGCCTTTTGGGAAACCTCTTTCTTGCCAGTTGTTCAGAGCATCCTGCTTTCTCCTCATTACTGGGATAATGTTGAAGCAGATCGTTTTCCAGTCACTGGACACCAACAAAGGCAGCTGCATCCCATCCTCATTTAACCTCTCAGCACTAAGTTCACCTGATTTAAGGGGGAAAAAACACAGTGAAAGTCAAAAGACAATAGCAAACTAATTGTCAACTTCAGCCTCTTTAGCTCCAGGGTCTTAGCATCTTTGACAAATAATGCTAGTGTCCAAAAGCACAAACAGGAAGCAATGCAAACCCCTAATATCAATGAAAAATGGCATGATATGCAGCTTACATTACAAAGAGGATAATACTGGAAAATTCCACTTATGAAGAATTAAGTATAACTTGTGTACAATAAATCAAAATCAATATGAATTAGTTTTTTTATGTTTGCAAGGTAACTTAATACAAGGGTTCCTAACCCCTGGCCCATGGACCAGAACCAGGCTGTGGCATGCCAGAAACTGTGCCACGCAAATAAGCAAAGCCCCATCTGTGGGAGGCAGGCAGCATGCGAAACAATCCCCGTCTGTGGAAAAACCTCTCTCGACCGAACCGGTCCCTGGGGCCCAAAAGGTTGGTGGCCACTGACTTAATAGTAAACCCCTGCCAGTAAAGTGATTCTTCGTATTATCTAACTAAATGAAGTACAGGTAGTTCTCAATTTACAACAGTTTGTTTAGTGACTATTCAAAGTTACAACAGCACTGAAAAAAGTGACTTATGACCATTTTTCACGCAAGTGCAGCATCCCCATGGTCACATTATCAGAATTCAGACACTTGGCAACTGACACATATTCATGACAGTTGTAGTGTCCTGGGGTCATGTGATCACCTTTTGTGACCTACTGACAAGCAAAGTCAATGGGGAAGCCAGATTCACTTAACAACAGTATTACTAACTTAATTGCAGTGATTCTCTTAACAACTGGCAAGAAAGGTTATAAAATGGGGCAAAACTCACTTAACAAATGTCTCACCCAGCAACAGAAATGTTGAGCTCAACTGTGGTCCTATGTCAAGAATCGTTGGGAGTCTCCCATTCTTTAAAAAGAATTTGTACTGATTTGTCTGAATCAGACACCGTATCTTAAAACTGATTGCATATTTTAGCCATTGTGAATCCTAGCTTGTCTTCCCTCAATTTTTCTATACAACTTGGTAAAATAATTTACCCCACCAGCCCCTGGGAGGATTGCAATGTGGAATTTCCAATTAAAAGATGTTAAGTCAGGTCATCTCCCAGGATATATTCTAAGAGAAAGAAAAAAAATAGAGCAAATAAATTTGACGGGTAGGAAGAAGGATGGATCTGGGGGCCGGGGCTACATGTCCCCTGAAAATAACTCTCTGTGTGAGGCACATATTAGGAATAATTTGTGGGCCAGGATAGGCAGGTATTAATGAGATATTGATACTTTGTGGAAATAATTGAATCTGTACTAAAACAATGTTTAGTTATTTAACAAAAGTTCCTTTTGCTCCTTTATTTCTAGGTAAGTGTCTCTGCTATGTATATCTTTCCCATGTTCCACCCAGTTACATTTTATTAGAGACTTAAATAATTTCTAAAGTAGAAATAGATTTAGTGGTGGCAACAGAACAAAGAGATAATAAAGGAAAAGACCTCCATAACAAGGAAGACAGGTGACACCCTCCTCTTGCCTATCTGTCACTATCCATACTTCAAAGTATTCTCACACCTAAACAAAGAAAATTAAAGTAGGGAGAATAAACTTTTTTGATATAAAACTTTGACATTATTGTGACAACAGTAAGGCCAATACATAAAAGCTGTTCTAAGGAGAAAATTGTTAGAACCCACCCTTGCAAGTAATACCGTAGCAGTTAATTCTGTAATAACAGTTAAATGAAAGTATGCCAGTGGTTTCTCTCATCTTACCCAATAGCCAGGCCAGAAGTAGTTTATTTTAACAGGAATGAAATAGCTTATGATGTCTTTCTGCGTATCAGAATTCTAGAAATGGACTGATGGATTTACAACTTTGGGTCTCTGGAGCTAATTCTTTCACTCCTGCCCAAGTTTTGAAATTTTAAAAAAACTACCTTTCCGTTGTTTTTGCTCCAAGCAAGCATCCTCCTGATACAGGAACACAATTCCCATCATCACAGATAACTCTGCTCTACCTGATAGTGATAGGAATTACAGTCCATTCATCTAGAGCAGGGCTGTCAAATTCGTGGCCCGTGGACTGGATGCATCACACACTGACCACGACCACGCCCAGTTTAGCAAAAGTGGGGAATGTCACGATATGTCACGCCACTGTGACGACATGAATTTGACACCCCTTATCTAGAGAGTACCAAGTTGTAGAAAATTAGCAGAAAAAAAATTAAATAGTGTTTTGAAATCAACATAAATATTCATAATAGAGTTAGCAGTGGGTGTGACAGTCCATATGTGTTGTTCAAGTTCTTATTTGAATAACTGCTAGTTGTGGGGAAACAACAAAGAGAAAGAGCTTGGGACTTGTTCAGACCCTGACCTGTTATGCATATTCGCATAATGCAAACATGTTAGTTTTTTTCCCCACATCATCTGTTTTTCAGTATTTAATGTTTATTCCATTTGTCTTCCAAGAACAGCATACCATTAGAAGAGTGGGGCAGAAATCAAATTTTTATTGCCTTTTTCTGACCTATCTCTGAATCTACAATCCTCATAATCTTATAACTGCCTTTTCTGTATAAACCTATTTTTGCCATTGTTATCAATGCCACATTTAATTTTGATTGTACAATTCAAGCAACTGTATTTTTAGTAAGATTTTAGAAATTATATTTAAGATTAATATAAACTTTTCTTCTTATCTTTGAAAGTTTAACTTATCTAAACCATTATAGTGTTAACAATTTCTAGTTTATATTGCATGAATGCCACTGTATCCAGAGGATATCTGTATTTATAATGTTTTATTCGCTTTTTATAGTGTAGTAAAACTTGAAGAAAAAAATGTGCCTGGACTACTTTATTTACTTACCTATCATATGTTGATAATTCTGAACAGCATGTACCTTTCCAACATTCATAAATTATTATGAGAACATTCAGCCCAGCCACTCTCCACAGCAAAGGAGCATCAGTCTCAATCTTTCCCCACCATTATCAACTGGAACCTCCCCTTTAAGAAGGAAGAGAACCACCACCAAATGGTGATCATCACTCCCAACCCTCAGAGACTATCCCAATAGATACCATGATAAATAGTGAAGGCTACTGAGATACCAGGCAATATTCAATTGGACCCATTTCTCCTATCTTGTTATCACCAGACTACCCATAATATGTGTTACCTGGAATGTTTTATAATATAAATTATAAGTTGAATATAAAATGAGTGAAGTTTATAACTTATGAACATTTTTTTATCTACATCACAGAAATATAGTTTCTAAATTACAAGAGTAACAGTTCCACTTCTTTGTTTGTTTGTTTGTTTTGATCAGACACTCCATTGACTATAGTACTGTATCCAGTTATCCACAACATACTTTAGAAACTTGAAATAAGTTCAGAGAAGAGCTGTTAGAATGTCCTAGAAACTAAGTATTCTAAAGAGTTTGAAGGAGCCTAGTTTGTTTGGCCTTGGGAAGAGAGCTAAAAAAAACATATGGCCCTCTTTAAATACTTTAAAAGTGATCACACACAAAAGAAAATCAAGACCTATGCTCCATCAGACCAGAGTGCAAGACGTCAAATGATGGATTTAAGGTATAGGATTCCAAGTGAAAGATGGTGGAGGTACAGAGAATCCCAATAGTAAAACTCGTCAGTGGTATCAAGTAACAAGAGGTGGTAATCTGCTTTCATATAATGTGTGTGAATAATACAAAGAGTCCTCAACTTAAGATCACAACTAAGCCCAACATTTCTTTTTCTCAGTGAGACAGTTGTTAAATCAGTTTTTCCTTATTTTATGACCTTTTTTGCCACTGTTATTAAGTGAATTGCTGCAGTAATTAAGTTAGTAACACGGTTATTAAGTGAATCTGGCTTCTCTATTGTCTTTACTTGTCAGAAGATGACAAAAGGTGATCACATGACCCCAGGATACTGCAACTGTCATAAATATGAGTCAGTTGCCAAGTGTCTGAATTTTGATCACATGACTATGGGGATGCTGCAATGGTCACAAGTCAATTTTTTCAGTACCATTGTAACTTCTAACCGTCACTAAACAAAGTCCTAAACAAGGACTACCTGTACTTAAAACTGAATCAATGAATAGAGGCATAGAACTGCTGGATGTAAATAGTTTATTTCAATTCCATGACTCTGTAATCTGATCTGAAGTGAATAGAGACCAAGTACATGTGTCCCAGCCCTGTGCTGGCCCTTTTGTTCTGAATATCTTTCATGTCTGTCCATATTCAGTTTAAGCTAAAGAATTGTATTAAGGAGGAACACAACCATGAGGCTGCCCACTAATAATAAGAATCTGGATTAAATAAGAAAAATAAGTCAGCTGGTCAGTGTCTGCTGAGATACACTTATTGTAATTATTTCACAATTTGTGCAGATTTTTTAATTGTTTTCTATTTTGTATAGTCTAATGATGCACACATAAAATGATATATTCAGAATATAGAAATCTGCATTCTGTTTTGTTGTCTTTTTAGTAATTTACTTCCTCTGTTTCAGAAATGAATTAAAATCCTGCCCTGGCTGGAAGATGTGTATAGTATATAGATATGTAAATATTCTTTAAATAGCAAACACCTTTTCAATTCTGCTGGAGTTTTATAAAAGATTTTAATTGTTTGGTGTAACTGTTACTTTTTATGTTTGGTTCTTGCTGTGTTATTATTATTACTCTGCTTTTATGTATTTATTTTTTTTACTGTAAGTTGCTCTGCTTCAGTTTTAAATCATTTCCTGTAATTCTTCCTGGCTTGATACAGGTACATGAGAAAACATTGCTGTAGGGTGTAACAGCATCAAGCAGATTGGAAAGCAGCAGTCACATGAGGAGAAAAATGCATTCCCTTAAAAACAGGCAGGAACCAAGTCCCTTGAGCAAGAAAAAACTTATCCCAAATAAAGTATAGCATCACAATAACTAAGCATTTGTTTTTGAGCAGA